AGTAGATTTTGTTCAGGTGTAGCACTCTTAGGTCAACAGTGTGTCCGTGTAGTGGAGGTAGGACAGCCCCTTTGACCTTTACGAATTTGTTTTGAAGCAAGTTTCTTTTAAAAGCTTTCCAACAGACACTTTGCAGCTGATGTCGTCAACATTTCCTGCGGGTGATGCTAACTAGAGGATCAGCTCTGTTTGAGGATATGTGGACTTTAATCAGAGCTTTATTTTAATGCAATTTGACCGGAAAGAATTGACTTAGTGGGAAGTACAACAGGTGAGAGGATTTGTGCTGTTAAACATTTCCCTCGCAAAGAATATTAGTCAAAAGCATTAGCATTAATCACTCTCAACTACACCTTTCATGATAATTACAATATTGGTTTATCGTTCAATACATGAAAGCTGGAACAATATATTTTTTGGGCTAATTTTGGTGTTAAATAAAATAAAAAGATGCTGTAAGTGAATAAATGCAAGATAATGCCATAGCTACTTTCCAGAGTCCAGGCAAAGCAATAACATCTCCATGGAAGCAAGCAGGTGATGGACCCTTCAAAAGTTACATAGTGCACCTTTACACAGCACTGGTGGAGGGTCTGTCACATGCTTCTCTCCATGGAGATATTACCTGGAATGTTCCAGAGTATGGCATTACAGAGCAGGTGACACATTGCCAGATCTGTAGAGAGGCGAGCCCACTCACAGTACGAATGGACGTTTTAAAGCTAATAAAAACCCATGTTATTGAGTAAATGGAAGATGGGTATGTTTAATGCCATACCGGGACATTCCAGACAAAACATTAACATCTCCATGGAGACAAGATGTAGTCCTCATAAAAGTCCTAGCTTCTTAACTGTACACTGAAACTTGACCTGATAGTGAACGCATTTATGCAACGTTTTCACAGCTCTCATTTATTATTCATCCAGAAAAACAACTATTAAAACGCACCACCAACTGTCTGAGCACCATCACAAGACATAACCACAAGGTAGAAACACTAATTAGCATCTGACCATGACACACTTTGAATAGTACCATTTATTGACTAAGCCTCGCCCCTGGATTTTGAATGACATGTTTCTAGACGACGTTACTCTAGTTTTAGTCAGTTGTTCCTTTGCAGCTGATGTCATCAACAATCCCTGGGGGTGTGATGCCAACTGCAGGCTCTGTTACTCAAGTTAGACTTTAATCTGAGCTTTGTTTTAACACAATCAGACCATAAGGTGGAACAACACAACAGCTGAGCTGATAAACTGTGCTGTTAAACAAGTCTCTGACACATATTAGAGTCACAAGCTAGCTCCAGTTAGTCGTTCTCATCTTTTTTGTTGAAAATCAAACACTTAAACAGGACAGAGAATGCTTGTACTGATAACAAGCTGCTGAGAATGTGTTGTTTAAATGCACTTTTTGGCTGTGTTTGCTATTGTATGCATTGTGCCACCATGTTAAATCTGATCATTTAATTCATTTCTGACAAGACACACGATCTCACTGTATTACAACAAAAATCTGATTTTTAACCATCATAATTTTAGCTGCCGCCATCTGTATTAAATATTATTGGGCTAAATAATGTTGTGATACCATCTATATAGCACCAACAGTCTCTGAATCTAAACTGTAAAAGATTCAAGATAAAATGTATGGATGTAACAATAACCGAGTCTCACAATAATATCATGGACAATCACAATGTATCGAATCTCAATTCTCTTTGCTTAAATTCATTGTTTTGGTGCAGCAATAGCTAAACGAAACAGAGGAAACCACATGGACCACGATCCTTAGCTCTGTTTCAGTCTTATTTACAAGATGAAATAACTTTAAGCACTTTTAGATTGTAAGTCTATGTACGTGCAAGTGTGTGTAAGTTTATGACAGAACCAAAGTCTTGTCAAGGCATTTTGAAAGGAAAAAAGTAGTACATTCACAATTCACAGTTTTGTATCCTTTACAAAATATCACAATAAATATTGTACCAAGAGATGCATATCGTGAAAATATTGTACAGAAAAATGTGGATATCGCTACATGTCTACTACCGAAAAATGTCAGCCAGTTTGAAGTATTTGGAAAGTACAGAGTTAGGGAGGTCACAATTAAACTTCTAAACTGTGGTAACCTGAAGAGATAGTTATGGACAGATCATTAACAGCAATGACTTTATTACAGGTACAGTGTTTCAAAACTATTTCTTTATTACAGCTCATGTTTCAAAGATTTTGCACATTTAGAAATGGGTTTCATGGGAATAGTGTGTGCTTGCCTGCTTGTGTTATTGTGGCATATGGTAGTTTGCCACAATTATTGTTTATTGTGATTAGAGTGACCACCTGTTCCTCTTTTGGACGCTCTGCACAGCACTGTAGGCCTCTGTCCCTCGTCCCACGTATTTAAAGAATGTTCCACTTATGAACAAAAGTGAGATTTACTTAGAAAACATGAGAATTTTTTTTTTCCCTCACAATAAATCAAAACTTACACTCTCTCTGCGAGATACGATTAGCACCCTAGAATACTGCGCTACCATCTGGGATCCTTATGTATCAAAGGACAAGAATAAAGTTCCAGAGAAGAGCAGCATGTTTTATAACTTCGGACTATGAACCAAAAAGCAGTGCAGTAGTTACTGAATATCTGCACAGATACTGAAAAAATTGCTGGATTGGATATCTGCTTTCAAATATTGGTTCAGCAGATATCCTGGTTGGACATTAATGTAACATGACCGTTTACTGATAGTAGTTGGTGCAGAAAGTCTCATGTTTGAACTTTTACCTATCTATACAAGATGAATAATAGTGACATAACACATTTGGAGCCGTTCTGTTTTATTTTATTTGTGTTTAAAGGAAATAAATGCTGTTTTCAGTCTCTACTCTGATATCAGCTGATATTGGGTATTGGCAGATACTTAAAGCTGTAGCACTGAAATCGAATCGAAGCTGAAAAACATGAATCGGTGCATTCGTACCAACAACTTGGCCATGCTGGCGCCATCCAGTGCCTCCGCTCAATTTCATTTCTCTCTAGCGACTAGGTCAGGAATGAAAATACAATAATAGACGGTTCGCAAAAACCCCGGAAGTGCAAGTTTCGGGCACGAGTCAATCAGCGACGATCCATATATTCAGTGTTGGCAACGATTCCAGAGATCGAGGATTTAAAGCCAGAATAAAGAGAATGTTGGTGAATTTCATCAAGGGGAAAGATGTTATTGCCCTTCTTCCTACGTGATTTGGGAAAAGCTTAATATACCAGTTAGCGGCACATTACATATGTGACTACCAAATAGCAGTGATTGATTAAATGATAAAAAGTACCTACCTACCATCAAGTGAATGAATTCTAACACTGCTAGGTCAGACGGTTTGTACAAAGTGAAACAAACTAAAACCGGCTGATGAATCAGGCTACCAACAACTTGTCCTGATGTATAAAATGACCAACCAACTCGAAGCAGTACCACTCACCTCACTGTACCTGACCACCGAACCAGATCTAATCATCTATACAAGTATTGGACCTTAAAACCCAACAGACCCAGTATAAGAACTCTTTTTTTTCCATTCACCATCCCAGAATGGAATCAGCTACCATCTGAAGTAATTTAAACCCAACTTTAGTTCTTTAAAGTTGACAGACAAAACCATAACATCACGCGCTCTTTCTCTGCCTTCATCCCTTCATCTGTGAGATATCCATTTTGAGTTTGTCTGATGAATTAATGAAATAGAACCAGAATAAATAAAACTGACAATCATCAGGTGTTAAACACTTGTCAATGAGCTTAAAATGTCCCTAGTCAGTACCAGTGCCGCCTTCAAAAGCTTTTTCAGCTATTTTAAATTGGTCATCGGATACTAAAATAACATACACGCATACTATACTAACAATGCTACACTTGATTAAACAGTAAATGGATGACCTATCAAGAAAACTATGCATGGTTTCACTGTACTGACTTTGACAGCAGTGCTATGTAGGATGGCAAGATTAATCACAATCAAACTAAAGTGTAATTAGAGTAGATGCAATTATCAAATTGCTGCCGTTTTTGAAGTAAAATGTCCAAAATATGTTAATGAGATAATCTGTATAACAACTTATGCCTGTAGGTAAGATCTGTTCAAACATAGTACAAAATGTGATTCTTTTATTAGTTTGTAAGCTCATATTTCAGTCTTTCTAACAATTTTCCTGGGCGCGTTTAAAATTTGAACTTAGAACAGAATCTTATTATTTAAAAATCGAAATAAAATTGCAAATCTAATGGCAATGCTTATGAGAAAAATCACAATAACATATTATTTCCTAAATCGTTGAGCCCTAGTTCTGTACGATCACTATTATACTAGGCTCTCATGAACAGCTGTCTAGTGTAGTCGGCATATTCTCCTATAATTATGAGTTATTGGTGAAATGCCTTGGCCTGTAGTTGTATGCCACACCTGACAGATGAGATTTAAATCATTTTATATGAGTTACAACGCTGCAAAGACACGCACCTGTGAACTGGAACTAAAAATGGAACTAGCGCTAAGTGGACACTGGACTGGCCCCGCAGGTCTTAAAATAAACCACTCCGGAAGATTCCAGAGACGTCCGGGGATTTATGAATGAAAACTAACTACAAACATGTGGCAAATAAAAGCAGGGAATGGATTTTGAAGTGAAGTGAAATATAAGATTGTCAAGCTATGGAAACGCTAAGGGCATTCCTCAAACTGCAGCATCTCGCTTCGGCGCTGTGTTCACGGCCTGTCAATCTCTGTGGTTAAGTTGCTAACAGGCTATCCCCCGTGTTAGCCGCAGTGTAGACACATAAATAATGAGGGAAAGCACGTTGAAAAGGCAGCCCTAACATGCACAGATAAACGGGACAGATAAAACCGAAGCGCTCATTCCTCGGCACCGCCAGGCTAAAGCGGCTAGCAGAAGGAAGCTAATGCACTGAGCTAGCTGTCAGGAGAAATGTAGCAGTAACTCACATGTCACGATCGGTTTGTTCTCCATGGTGTAGATGATCGGCTTTTCTTCTGGACACTCCATATGTGTTAGCGGTGCCGATCCATGAAAATGACATACAAACGCGGCTTTATTATTAGTAAGTGCTTATCTCTGCAGTTGTGTTGAATCGATGGGGCCTGTGTCCCCACTGCACTCCGGAAATACGTCACCTGTGCGTCAGTGACGTAGGTAACCTCTTATTTTTTTTATTTGTATGTTTTTTTATTACTATTAAAATAATTAATAGTATTAGAACTAGACCTGTATTAAATCAGCCTTATTGCTATTATTTTTTTCAGTTTCTTTCTTTATATTTTGTATTCTGTTTTTAAATATTCTGCATATTGATTTCCCTGAACAGTAATTAAATTCTTTTCACTGATTTATACACCTTTTTTTTTCTCACACCCAGCACACCAGTTGTTTAAATGGGTAATTTTCAGTTATATCAGTAATATAATTAATAAATAAATAAATAAATAATAAATATATATATATATATATATATATATATATATATATATATATATATATATATATATATATATATATATATATATATATATATATTTTTTTTTTTTTTTTTTTAGGAAAAAAATAAAAAATAAAAAAAATAAACAGGTACTACCCTAATGATGCATATATAGGTGTGGAAGAAAATAGGCAAAAGTCGTAAGGCAACATACGCCAGCTTAGAGTTGTAAAACAGCTAATCTTAAGCAAACTATTAGATCTACTTTCTATGAAGAGAGCCATAGTGTCATCTTGTGGTCACTCATGGAATTGTACAGTCAATAAAGCGTTATTTTTGTAATATAAACAGTTATTGAGACTCTCAATTAACATATTAGTAGTGGTAGGAAGTACTTGAATGCATGTACCAAAAATTCATATTCTCAATACTAATTGTAAATTAAATACTTACAGTACAGTATTAGTGAGAATAAAGAAAACACAGCTCTAGAGTGTCTGTATGTGTGTATTTCTCATCTCTAATTGGACATAAGTTAATACAAATAAACAGTGTATTCCAGTAGTGATAGTCAAGTCATGCTCATTCATATAGACACAACAGCAGCATGTTAATCCAGTATGCAACGTTTATTATGTAAATGAAAATACCTAATTTATTTGCAAAACAAGAAGTCACACTATTATAGAACAAACTCTATCACTGCTCTCCTTTCTCTGCCCTCTCCTCTGTCTCTCCTCCCTTTTTTTTCTCCTCCTCCTCCTCCTCCCCCCCTCTCTCAACCTCTCCTCTCTCCTCCATTGTATTCCCTGTGCTACTCTCCTTCTCACTCTCTATCTCAGCTCCGTCTCCTGGTCCTGGTCTAGCGTCCCCTCTCTCTTTCTTCTCCTCCTCCTCTTCCAGTTGACTCCTTGCTTCTTTGTTTGCTTCCTCACTTCCTTCCTTACCTCCTTCTCCTACACCCTCTCCACTTTCTTTAGTACTTTTCGTGCTCTCCCCATCTCCCTCTTTGGCCACTTCTTCACCGCCGGCATCCTGGTTTTGCCCTTGTTTTGTCCCGTTTTCATCCATCTCCTCTTCTCCTTCTGCTTCCTCTCTTGGCAGTTCAATCTCTCCACCTACCCCTTGACCTCTGCCTTGTCCTAACTCCTCATCCTCAATTTCCAATGCATCATCGGGGACCGCCAGTGTAGCAACTTCCCATTCTAGCTGCTCAACTCTTGCTCTCATTTTTCTATTACTAGACTCCAACTCAACCATCAGTCTCGCTAATTTAGTCTGAAGTATTTCCAAGTTTTCCTGAAGTCTTTTGATTCTTGTCTCCACTTTGTCTTTCTCATCCTCCTCTCCCTCCGCACTCTCCTCCAGCATGCCCATTTTGGTGAGGATTTGACGCCCTTTCTCCTCTAGGTGGCGCTTTGCTGCTGGGAACTCTGAAAGCACATCTGTCAGGTCTTCTTTAGACAGGCTGAAGAGGTCGGAGTAGCCAATGCTGCGGATATTGGCGGTTCTCCGGTTTCCAGATTTGTTTCCTAAAATAAGATGGCACATGTTATTGACCACAGACTGTTTCACTGTTTGATTTTCAAACTTACCCCTGTTGGTTATTAGCACTGTAATCTTTACTCTCTTAAAAAAATGACAGAACTAGTACATTTTCAAGTGCCTATGACAGGACTACTCATATTTAAGATTTTTTAAAACACAACACAACATCTTGTACACTAATTAGAATTATTATTTTTTTTTTATAAAAAGGTAAGAAAAGACCTTTATTTAGTTTAAATGAAGTTTAAGTAAGTATCATAAAAATGTGTTTCTTTTGTGTAAATTGTGCTGGACTTTTGGATAGAATTGTCCCTACTGTGAGATTAGAAATACTTTATCATCCCGAAGGAAACTAATTTCAATAACATCAATTCAACATCAAAAGAGAACTCTCTACTTCCTGTAATTTAACATATTTTTTTCAACTTTTCTTCACAAATTGCTTCTTGATTGGTGTAAAACTATTATTTATGTTTTCAACAGATATTATCCCACCACCAAAAGTCAAAATTAGAGAATTGGCAAAACACTCATACACACTTTAAACAGTTTGCAGTGGTCCAAAGTTTTTCTCACCTTATGCATTCAGAGCATCCGAATTAATCACATGATGAGTTTATAAGAGCATTTTACAACTCTTATGATGTGAAGGATTAATAATAATAATAATAATGATAATAATAATACATAACACTTATATAGCGCTTTTCAAGATACCCAAAGACGCTTACATCAGAAAACAAACAGCGACAAACAAGAAAGAAAGAGAAATTAGTTTAATATATTTCGCTTTTGTTAAGTTCTGTTTTGCTACACACTGTAAACGACATCCAACCTTTGATATTAAGGATGCTGATTTCTCCAAAAAAGTTGCCCTCGCTCAGAACAGCAAACTCAGTCACTCCGTCGTCTGCCACCACGGCCAGTTTGCCCTCTTTAATGATGTACATCTCATGGCCCACGTCACCCTTTCTGCACACGTACTCTCCAGGACTGAACACCTGAAAACACATAGAAATCATAACGAGTCTGAGATAAAAAACATTGAAAAGCATAACATATTATTCACTCGCTATACTGGAAAAGTTAGTTGCATGCTAGTTAGTTTATGGCCATTTAAAAATTTCATCTAATCTCGCAGATCAACATTTATCCAGTTAAAATAAAAATAAAAAACTTGCATTATTGCCAATTGGTACTATCATTAACTGAATGCAACAAGGAAGTTTTTGTTCTGTTTGTGCCTATAGAGGGAGCTGTGAACCTGTACTTCAGACTCTCATTTTAACAAAGCTTTCTTGGAGATGAAAGTTTGATGTATTACTTGAAGTATTCAAATATTATTATTACTACTTAGTATTACTAATAATACTAATATTAGCAGTAGTAGTAGTAGTAGTAGTAGTATTAGTATATCAGTAGTTATATATTTAGTTTTTGAGTTTTGACAAATTTACTTATATTTTATCACAGACTGATTTAAATGTGGCCTATGTAACTTTCTGAGGGACATCTGCTTGTCTCCATGGAGATGTTATTGCTTTGCCTGGAATGTACCACAGTGTTGGAGCCTAAACCCAGTTTTGTAACTTTTTCATTAATGAGATAATTATTCTTATTTTGTTTTATTTAATATTTAATTAAAGTGGATGGTTTTTGGTAATTCTGGTAATTCTGTATGGTTAACATGATTATTTGTTGATTATTTGCTTAAAAATAATTTTAATTTATTTACATTCAGTTAATTATTGCTAATGTTAATCATAAGTTTACTGAAGTAATGTTTATTTTTTGTATTATTTTGTGGTCTATGGCTTCTTATTTAAGGCGAGTGCAGGTGCACCATGGGCGTGAAGTGGAGCCAAACAGTTTTTTGACCTCCTGTCACCTATGTTAAAGTTCCCCTTTTTTGTATGTATTTTTATGTCCCAATCATGTGAATACTCAGTAAAGAGTTTTTAACTGCACTTGGATTGCTCTCCGTGCATTATTTCACTTTTGAGGCACTTTAAAAGGTGGAACAATGTGCGCAAAGCGTCTACTATGGCTTCACAAATGTGTGGACCTTTCACACAGTATAAATTGCTCTATCTTGCATATATTCAAAAACATCAGTAAAAATACCTTGAAACACAGGCACTCTACTGTCAACAGATCTGACATGGTGGTGACCGTCTTCTCTCCGTTGAAATAATTTTAATGTTAGAAGGCAAAGCAATAATACCTCCACGGAGACAGACCCTTCACCAGAAAAGTTGCATAGTGCCTCTTTAAGATCTCTTCGGACATGCATGTTCTGAATTAAACTTGATTTTTTTTAACAGTTCTTATTTCACTGTACTCTAAAATGCTCTTGGATGTGTTTAAAATGTGTAATCTGAACTGAGCCTTGATTAAAATTAATGAACCACACATTTTAGCTCAACCACAATAAAAACACAAATATATCTGTCCTTAATAGTCCATAAACAGCCTCCTCTCTCTCAGCCCGTCCTCACCTGTGGGTTTAGTTTCAGCACCAGCTCTTCTAGCAGACTCGTCTCGCAGTTTTGGAAAATGGTGACTTTTGACAGGGTCGGCAGGTGCACACTGACAGCGATCTCTGTACGCAGGTGCAGAGGCAGCTGCTGGAGAATCTCGTTTTCTCTCATGATCTTCTTGTTGATGTGCAGGTGCTGGTACCAGTTGTCAATCCTCTGCCTCAGCTCTTTACTGATGTGGTGGCTGCGCAGGTACGCCTTCACCTAAACACACAAGGAGAAGAGAGGCTTTTAAAAGACACAATTATCCAAACAGTTCTGCAAAGACAATGAGGACAATTTGAGCTGTCTTCGAAAATTGACACTTGAGACTGAAGTATGAACAAAACATGATTGTAGTCAAAACTATGTATTTACTATTATGTATAAAACTACAAGGAGGATGAACATTTTGGTGTTTTCAGAGGACATTTATATATAGATAAATGCAGTTTTTAATTTTCCATTCACCTAAAGATGGAAGTTTTATCCCTGCTCAGAATTATGCATACAGTTGCTGTGTCCTTTGGCAAGACACTTCAACACATTACGCAGGAGCTGTAGGTAGAGACTGGCAGCCGCCTCTTTCTTTGTCAACCCCAAGGCCCAACCATTAAGTGTGGAGAGTTTAATGTAATTTGTCTCCTGAAAGACTATTTAAAGATGGACAATATGCCAAAGAATTTATACTACAATTTTCAGAAATACATTTGGTCACAATTCATTACACATTACACAGTACACTAAACGGCTTCATACTGTCTTCAAAAGGTGACTTTTACTTTATCTAAATCTAAAAGTTCACACATCACTGTGATCGGATAAATCCACCTGTCACCAGCGCCTTTCAAGATACCCAAAGAGCTTTATAGTTCATTGTTCATTCACTCCACACTCAGTGATGGTAAGCTACTACTGTAGCCACAGCTGCCCTGGGGCAGACTGACAGACGAGAGGCTGCCAATCTGCGCCATCGGTCCCTCTGACCACCACCATCACTCACGCACACACCACATTCACGCTAGGCAATGTGGGTGAAGTTTCTTGCCTAAGAACACAATGACAGTTTCTGCCACTGGCGCCCCACTGTGGCACCTGGAATTCACAGTGGTCTCCCATCTAAGTACTACCCAGGCCCGGTCCCGCTTAGCTTCTGAGATCTGACAGGATCAGGCTTTGATTTGGCCAGTAAAAAATAATTAATTAATTAATAAAAATACAGTATATCATGGGCTGCTGTATCGATATATCACCAAGAGTATTTTTTGGTTTATTTTACTCAATTCTTTTGTTCCAGCTACAGTTTTGTTGTTTGTTCAGTGGAAGGAAATTTGTTTGTGCAACACATTTGATTTGATGAGTAAAATGGGCGTGTTTCATTTTAACTTTGTACAAGAAGTGGTTTAACAAAGACTTTTAGTATCACAGTCATGATTTTGCCATTATTTTTTATTGAACCGTATCGAATCAATTTGAAATATTTCATATTGAACCAAAAGTGCACTGTATCAAGATATGTATCGTATCGTGGCCTATGTATCGAGTTATGTATTGTATCAGGAACTTCTTAATAATAATGATAAGTATAAGAGCACACAGACTAGTATACAACCATGGATCACTATGGAACCTCCCTGGACCACTGAGGGATTACACAGATATAAGACCACATGGGAACAGAAAAGAAAGTACCATTATTTAATGCTGAAAATGACATTCTGCTGTCTAATAGTGTGAGTGACTGAGTGTGTTTAAGTAGTGTTAGTGTGATTTTGTGTTTTTTATTATCATTTTTATTATCATCAGAATAGGTATTGAGTATCCAGTCTATTCCTCAGTACTGAAACCAAGTTAGAAATGTTAATATCGTGACAACACCACAGTTGTATCAAAACTATACTTGTCATTTGTAACAACTGAATCGCAAATCAATCTTACCAGCTCATGATTTGGGAAGAAGACATTGTCCCTGTCCCTGAGGCTTGAAATGACGTTTCCAACATTCCCTACAATAGACGCAAACACCAGCACTGCAATGAGCAGATCTGCTATCATAAACAAGTACTCCTCCTCTCTGTTGGGAAGCGGAGTATCCCCAACCGTAGTGAAGATCTGCGCCGAAAACCAAAAACAGTAGAAATATTGCCGTCGAGTTGAAGCAAAAACTGGGTTGGAGATGTTTGGATACACCCACCTATCCCTACCAAATCCAATGTAGTTCGAAAGGGCGAAATACAAGCAAGCGTTCCAGTGGATAAGTACAAAAATATATATCATTAATTTGGAAATTCGGAACGTGTTGGGGTAGGAGGTTCTTGTTTCCATGCGGTCCAAAGCTTCGTTGAGGCGTGGAGTGCGTAATAGCCGGTTGATTCGCACTAAAGGAGTCTCAATGCCGAATGCGAAGTAAAGGAAGTCCGTTGGGAGTAAAGATACGACGTCTCGAAGGAAAAACCTGGAGCTGAGATAGCGTTTTTTCAGTCTGGCTGGATCTGTGATGAGAATCCCCTGCTCCAAGAAACCTAAAAGAGCAAAGGTGGGGTTAGTAAAAAGATATGGACTGGGTCATGAAGATGCACAAATAACTCTGTAGCCTATATTTATGTAAAGGTTTGCTTTTTTTTTTTCTTACCATAATTAAAGAGCCTATATTACACTATTTTCTGATCTCTGTTGTAATGTTGTTCCCTCATCACAAACATATCTGGAGTTGTGTTTTGATTCATTCACACATGTTTAATCTTCTTCTTTTTTCCACAATATGAAGTCATGTGGCATTACAGGAAGTGCTCCACTGTGTTTTTACACTCCATACACCTTCACTAGAATCACTTGGATAATTTTAGCCCTGGAAATGCCAATCTCTACTGAACTAAAGGTAAAAGGTAGCTGTTAACTTGAAATCTTCCACTTCATGACATCACAAGGTGGAACAGAGCATTTTGAGCTTTGGAAATGTAGACAGACTAATAATAAAGGATTGTGTGCATGAAACAAAACAAAACTCCAGGCATATTTTTGAGGAGGTAATAACCTTCTAGCATTGCTTAAAGCTCACAAGATTTTTGCACAATTTAGGACTTATAAAGGCACACTATGTCATTTTTATGGTGGATGGTCTACCACCTGCTTACTTACATGGTGATGTTAGTGCTTTTCCTTGAATGATGACTTTCCTCCACAGAATGGCATTAATTGTATCTAGATCTGTGAAAAGGCGAGCAAAATAACGCTCTTCTATTTCCATTTTTACCTCAAAAAACAAACAAACTAATCTGGGAATGAGACTGGGGCAGCGCTGAAAAGAATTGGTATTGAATATTGATATCAAGTAACACTGTCAACCGATATTGGAAAAAAATGTGTTGATATTTTTTGTACGTCATCCACCCCGACTTAAAAAATAAAACAGTACCTGTGCGCACAGTGATGACCATGTCTGCTACATACATCAGGTCTGACAGGTAGTCCAGGGTCAACCACACAGGCAGGTAGTTCAGAGCAATGGAGGTGAAGCAGGTCCTAAACAAGTTTAAGTACACGCAGAGAGATTTACTGTAAACACTGTAAACACATTTCTACAAAATGTCTATCATGAACTGAGACTGTACTAGTTTAGAATTATTTATTTCATTATTGGTTCTATCCTTTGGGATTTGTTTGAACAAATTATTTTTTTTATTTGAAGCAAAACTGTCCATGGAGTAAAATTTCCATAAATATTTAGTTGTTGAAATTTTCAGGTTTTCATAGTATACTCACAGATTTTCTATTAATTATAAAATATACATCTACTATCAGTCAAACGTTTAGATACACCTTCTTCAGTGTTTTTACTTTCTACATTTCAGATACATACAAAAGATTAAAGATAAATAACTCAAATAATTATTTCTTATATTTTATATTCAAATCCTGAAAGCAGCAATCCTTTGCTTTTGGCGACAGTGCTGTAAACAATCGGTCTTCTCAAAATGTGTCAAAAGCAATGATTAAAGCAATGAATTAGTTATTTTGAGTTTATGTTTTGTTTACTGCATTGCATATGTGCTCATTCATTGTTTTGACTAAATATTTCAAACAAGTTTAATATTTTGAATGGTACGCTATTTTAACTTCTGTAGATATTCCTTTAAGTGGTGAAACTGAGCAAATAGTGTGTATAGTGAATATTGCTGACATGTTTTACCTTAAAATAATGATGACCCAGTTGTAGACAATGGGGAAGATTATGATCTGAAGCCACACATAGTAAAACTGCTCTGCGGGGTCCACCACCCACTCTCTCCAGCTAGAAACAAGAGAGATTTTTACAATAATCACAATACTTCAATTCCAAAACTGTATAATGTTTCAAAATTCAGCAAATGAAGTAGTGTTGTAGTCTTCCAGGTAATTATGGATACTAAAAACTATTTGTACATTTAAAGGGCTCATATTACGCTATTTTCTAATCTATGTTATAATGTTGTATCCTCATCAAAACATACCTCGAGTTGTGTTTCTTTTCATTCACACATGTTTAACACACCAACACTGTGTATTTATGCTGAGTTCTTCTCTCAAACGGAAAACACTCTGACATCACCTTGTGATGTCAGGCGGTAATACAGGCAAACCAGTAACTCCAAGCTGTAACTTATGTCAACTGACAATCTTATGAATAAATAAATAAACACAAAAAAAAATGAAACCACTTACTTAATTTTTGTGAGTCTATCCAATGCACTGCTTTGCCCCTCTGTCCGGTTCTCGTCTTCTTCTTGTACATTCACCCTCCTTCTTCTGTGCCAGTTCAAGAGCCTTTGCCACTGGTTATTCCTGACGGTAACATTACCTAAATTGTCCATGTTATACCCTGATTTCTGACCCAAAATGTTGCTTTTCTTCGTAGTTCTCCCTCCTTTACATGACTAGGTGCTTCCAACTGACTTGCTTTCCATGTTGGTGGAGTGATACTGGTCTCCATGGAGGAGAGCAGGATAACAACAAGTGCCATGGTTCCTTGGGGAATGGCTTCTCCAGGACAACTCTGCTCCTTCCACTCAGAGGCTGCTGTTATCACAATTGGACCAATGACAGCAGCTCTATAGGGAGTAAGAGGAGACAAGAGGGTCATTAAGTCAGTCCTAATGTAGGAACTGATGTGGACAGGTGTAGTACACATGAATGTGTTGTAGTATTTCAAAACAAAGAGCCCTAAAGGAAAACATTTATATTTTAATTCTGTTTAGTGTTTAATTCTTGTCCACCAGAAGGTGGTGGTATACGCAGAAAGCCAAGAATCATCATATATAAGGCTTAAATATCGCCTGTATTTTATCCATGGAGACACGCAGGTGATACCACGCCACAAATTACAGGTCACATCTTTGGAGAGGTAAGCCTGCTCTAAGATAGCATGTTTAGAAGGTATTTTTCAGCAATAAAAAATATGCAATTGGAAAAATACAAGCTACATGTTTAAAACTATATACTACAGTGCAGTCATTCCCAAATCCTGCTGTGCCACAGCCTCCCGTCATATTTAATATATTACTCTACATATAAACCAGTGTTTTCTTCCTAAATGTACATATTAAAACAATACACTCCCGGGGGGTTAATACTCATTTAAAGAAATATAAACAAATATCTTATGTAAAATTAAGTAAAACTCTGTTTTCTTCCTTGCTTTTTGTGTGGACAACCTAGGGGGCCCCCTGCAAGGCAGCATTTTGGGAACAGCTACCATACTGTAAAAGTCGACTGACTTGACTCAATTGGTCAAGTTACTTGGTGTTGTAGGAAGTAATGTAAAGTAAAGTTTCATGCTTTGCAAACATATCGTGAGGAATGCACATGTCAAACCCCACTGACATTTGATTAGATTTCAATAGGTTCAATTAAAACCTAAGTTAGATCTAAATTTGTCAGACCTAATGCAACGTAGACCATATCTTTGTAATATAATTATATAGCTTTATATTGTATATTTTTTTGCATTTCATTTCCACGTTCTATAATTGGTTAAGTTCGACATAAATGCTTTTAAAAAGCTTTTCTAATCTCTAACCTTTGCTCCGCGCTCCTCTCGCCCGCTCTGACTCATGACAGTGGGAGGAGACTGTACCAAGATGGCGGCTGCGGGAGCGACCAGAGCTTTTGAAAATCCACCAAATCGGATGTTTATCTGCGGCTCACGGGATGCACAGTGACTCAGAGGAGGAGAGCTTCGTATCCCGACTGTCATGACTCCATATGCCCTCACAACACCGCTGTCTCCTGGATATCCAAGCTGTTTTAGCCCGTTTTGCTATCTGACATTGTGAATACATTAGTTAGCAGTTAGCATCTGAGCAGCGCTAACGACCACTTAGCATCAACAACAAGCCCACTGGAGAGCACTTTTTAGCCGAAACTGGGATTTTTATACAATTTACACACACATAAGGTAAGAAACTATATATTTTCTAGTCGTATGTGCAACTGACACGTTAAATACTTCAATGATCGCAATGTAATGTTGATATTTCTAAGCTAAGTGCTAATTAGTAGGGGTGTATCTTGGAGCTTGCTACATCATCTCCATCGGATTGAACTGATTTTTGATTCGTAGCAGATCTCAGTGCTAATTTTTGCGCTAATTATGATGAAATCTGGTTTGAAACTTGTACAGGGTCCTAGTAAAATATCTTAAATTTGTGATCTGAAATTTTGGGGGGAATAATGCTGGAAACCCGAGCTGTGTGCACTATAAACAGGAGAGGACCCGAGGCGCAGTAGTGATTGATTTGTGACAGCGCAAGGTATCTTACGTTTCTACACGTGCGATAGTGTTGTTTGCTCAAGTTTTTAAACATGAAGGCATTAAAGGGCCTATATTGCGCTATTTTGTGATCTACGTAATAATGTTGTTTCATCAAAAAAAAAAAAAAACGTGGAGTTGTTTTATTTCATTCACACACATTTAACACACAAACCCAGCATATTTAGGCTGAGTTCTTCTCTCTGTTCCACCTTTTGATGTCATGTGGTAATACAGGAATTGCTCCACTATGTTTTTAAACTCCATACACCTTCATTAGAATCGTTTTGATCATTTTAGCTCTTGAATTGCTAATCTCTACTCAACAAAAAGTAAAAAGTAGCTATTAACTTCCGCTGCTGCTACATGACATTACAAGATGAAACAAAATACAGTTTCAGTCCAATAAAAAGAAACTGATATTGAAATTGTTACAACTACCGTGCAGCATTGAGATGAGATTGCAGTTAGATATGGGAATTATCTTTTGATAGATTGTGTTCAAAGTGAGCATTTTAAACAGAAGACGGAAACATGAGTTGATAATTTAATACAAGGATTGTGTCATTTCAGATGATGTTTTTTAAGGTCTACACTATGGAGTTAGCTTTTTTTTTTAGATAATTAGACGGGATCTTTTGTTGGTTGTAAGGACTTAATTAAAGAGTCTTTCTGATTTGCTAATTGCTATTTTGATTTGATTTCAATTAATCCAACAGCCCTACTACTGTGCCATAAACTCTTTGTAGTTTTGTTTCTCTAAACCCAGTTGTGAATTCAATCTGAAATAATGAAACTGTCAAAAATGGGCGCTATAGCCTAGTAATATTGTAGGCTAGACTCATTATTTACTAATCATTGCAACAACTAATGTGTCTATAACTGTAGGATCACTTGAGTAAGCTGCTTAATGTATTGCAATGAATTGCAACATGATTATTACTTGTATATAGATCCAGACACTGTGCCTTGTTTATGGTTTGGATTGGGAAAGCTTAAAGAGCATTCACTGATTTATGGAAACATCAACTGATTGTGTTAAAAAGGGCTTTAAATTCTAACTAGTTTACAATATGTTGCTATTCACTACAAAGCTAAATCAGGATCCCCAAAGCAATAAAACTCTCTGGCTAGATGTTTGTTTTAGCATTTACTTATATATGGAAAAAGTTTGTCAAATTTTCCCTCTTAACTGAAGGAAAGTTTTAAAAATACACTATGTCTTCATCTATTACCATATGGACAGCGACTGTAGCAGTCACTTTCATTTTGGAAGAAGTGAACTGATTCTGCTGTTAATAATTCAACATTTTAAAGCAAAACAAAACATTGCATTGAGAGGTTTCTTAGGATTGGATATTCATTGACCCATCTAATGTTTTTCTAGTGTTTACTGTATAAACATGGTCTGAAATGTCATTCTTGTATTAGTTTGTCAGTTCATATTTCAGTCTTTTTGTCAATTTTTCTGAATGTGTTTAAAATGTGAACTTTGAACAGAATCTTATTATTAAAACATAAATTGCAAATCTAATCGCTATCACAGTGTTTGTGAGAAAAAATTGCAATTTTCCCATCATCATCATCAGGCTTGGAGTTCAGTCACTTTTTTTATAATTTTTCAATTTTCTAGTATTGATTCTAACTCTTGATCAGGTACACAGTAATGAATCTGTAGTCTTTACTATAAGAAATATGACAGCTGTTATGTAGTAGATATTTTGTAGCTATTTTTTAAAAAGTTCATCTCCTGATTGTATACAGTTGGTTTTAAAGTGTTGATGCAGACATTGGTTATTATTGGCCAAAAAGATCCATCAGATTATCTCTACTTAAACTTTCATTTAAAATGACTTTCAATAACATAAAACACGTCTTCTTCCCTTCAGTCATGGCCTAGCTCCTGCTTTACTACCTGAGTAAATCTTTGAAGCTTTGTGCTTGTTGTTGTAGTGAATGTGTAACAGTGTCATAAGGGGTTTTTGTCACAGCAGCTGCACTTTGGCTCAGATCTTAGTGAGGATGTCTCAGCTCAGCTCCTCTGTGTTTGTGTCGCACCTGTGTCACTGTAGATGTACGTTTAAAACAGCTGTCAACAAAATGACAACACAGGGGTTTCTGCAGCGTGTGCTTAAAGCACACCTATTCTGCAAAGTCGACATTTCAGAGCTTTTATCCATGGTGTAGGTGTTTCCCCTCACCATTTACACTCCTGAAGTTGTCTTTGTACATACTGGAGCACTCTTTAATTGCTCTGTTGTGATGATGTTTACTTTGACATCAGCTCCCACTGGGCATCACAGTGTCCTAACGCAGAAGTCAGCGGACTTGTTTACGAAGTTGTTTTAGATGAAAATTGAGATTTAAAATGTCCAAATTATAATGATCAATATGTCTTCTGTATGTGTTTAGAGGAAATGTACTTGCAACTCAATAGTCAAAGCTGTTGTTTTTCATGCCAGAAATGGCATGCTTAAAAGTGATTTCCACACTGCAGTTAATAGGCTGGTCATGAAAACACAATTTGAAGCACGACTGCTACAGAGAAATACTGTGATAAACAATAATATTGAAATTACTTAGTGCCTCTGACACAATAAGAATAAAGCAGGTCTCATTAAAATGCCTGAGCTCCATCCATGTTTATAATGGAATTGTATGCACGATAATCATTGAGCCACAAAATATATAGTTCACTCTCATATATTGAAAGATAAGATGAAATAGTAATTATCATGACTGGTCTAGGGGTCAATAAAGTGTTAGGTTTTTTATTTTATGTCATTTGTACAATGGTGTTAAAACCAGAATTTTATTTTATTTTTTAAGATGCATTATGTGATGCACTATCCACCACGTGCTGGTTAGGGTTAGGCTGGTGATGCCGTTTTTTTCTTTGCCTGGAATATTCCACAGTCTGGCAGTAAATATACGTCTTCAGGGAGACGCGTGTTTTTCAAGGAATTTCTGAGCTCTAAAAACACCTGTAATTATAAAACTGCAAGACAGTTACATTTAACGCTAATGGAACATCTCAAGCAGATGACAGACCCTCCACCAGGAAAGTTCCATAGTGCATCTTTAACTGTACATCTTAAGTCCTTTGTAATTGGCCAAACATACCGTACTCGGCTGCCTTCTGATATCTGCTCCCTCCCTTTGCAGGAATCCACAGGTGAACTTTGGACATCAGGATAGTGGTTTATGGCGCTCCCATATTGACCAGGATATGATATAAGGCATTTACAAGGTTCAAACACCTCACATTCCTGCTTTATACTACAACTGGGCCATATCATATTGCCAGTGATCTATGGTCACCTAAATGGGGATGATATGCAATTTTTGGAAGATCTGAATAGTGCACACAGGCCTGAGCTGCAACAAATAAATGGCAGAATGAAGCAATAATTAGCCATAGAAGTTACTTATTCTACCTTCTACAGCTCAAATCTTTTAGTATTACAACAAAAATAACAAAAATCTCCCCATTATTGCAAAGTAAAGTAAAAACTGAGCCAAAAATATTTGTTCCAGCTTTCATGTAGTAAACAGTAAGTTGATATAGTATTTGGTGGAACATAGGACTTTTAATATACAACCCTACAATTATCCTGCTCTACTTAATACAATTTCCACAAGACGAGATGAGACACGAGACTGGATCTACAAGAACGAGACAAGACAAGATTTTGAATTGTGCAATCAAGTTCTTAATTTTATTCTCACTGTTTTTGATTATACTTTATTTCATACTTGCTGTAGTGCTGCTTTTTGTGATGACAGCTTCTCAAAAAATGTATCTCAACAGTACTTTTTATCCAGTCCAAACGTAAAAACATGAGGAAAAAATCTCACGAGATCATTTTCAGCCTGTGTGCACAATCTCATGGTAATTATGTCTTATTGGTAGTAGCAGTTGTAGTATACCTCTTCTGTTCTTACCATGGCCCTGACTGATACGATGAATATTTCATATCGCGTCATTATTACCTTATTGACTCACTGAGAGGAAATTGCTGTCTCTCTGGGTTCAGTTTCACTAAATGAACTTTATTGATCTGGAAAGTCCTGCTATTGGTCATTAATCTGTTGCCCATATGCCACGATTATTTTGAGTGCTTACCTTGTCCATAGCTTGCTGATTTCTTGTTAAATTCAAATTGAAAGTCATTAAATATACCAAAAATTATATCATATGCCGATTTTGATGCTATTGTTTTAAGTCTCTGCGGATACCGATATTAACCAGATACCAATGCAGAGACTGAACAGCATAAACAAAAATTAAACAGACAAAACAGATCCAAATGTGTTAGTTATCTCTCAAGTAACTACAGAAAAACTTTTATAAATAAATATTGAGAGGCTTTCTGAGTAAACTATAATCAGTAAACAGTCTTTTTACATCACTGGATCTGTCCAACCAGGATATCGACTGAACTCATATTTGGAAGTGTGTATTCGATCCAGAAGATTCTTACGTATCTGCGCCAATATCAGACACCAGTATTCGATGCCTCCATCATCCCTAGTTGGTACCATCACCAAAAACATTAAATTGGTTTTCAAAAAATGCGTTTTTAACAAGTGTATCTGAAAATGGTAGGAAATGTAAATTAAATGCATTTAGGTGAACAGGGAGTGCGGGCAGATGTCACTGACAGCATGTTGAAAAGTACAAATAAAATGAATACTGCACCGGTGGTCCGTACACTGTTTAGAAAAATAAATGTTTGTGTATCAATGCTAATGTTAATTCTAAAGTTGAGGCATAATAATAATAACAACACCACCAGTATAAACTTAGGTATTATACACATAAAATAATTTAGGAGTCTTTACTTTAATTAATTTGAATTGCAATAGGTTGTTTATTTCATGTTTTAAGGGACAGTCCGAAAAATTTGGACATAGTACTTCATTTCCTAGTGAGTGTTGGAGACGTGTAGAGATACTTTTTTAAATATTCCATCCAGTCCTTGTATTTGCAGAGGTCGCTGGGGCTAGGTTAGTGCATGTCAATGGCCATAGTTATCCTGTCACTAAAAACAGTCTTACCCCACACAGTCTTACTCCACAAAACACCCGAAGCAAATCTATTATTACACCAGAATGTCCATGTAAATGTCTGTGTCGATAGAATAATGTTTGAAATAAAACTAACCATGCGACCATCACATGAACATGCGACCATCACATGAACATGCAACCATGTCGCATGTTGAGGGACTATTTCTTTTTTAGATTTGCTTCGGGTGTTTTGTGGAGTGGGTAAGATTGTTTTTAGTGGCAGGAAAACTATGGCCATTGACATGCACTAGCCTAGCACCAGCGACCTCTGCAAATCCAAGGACTGGATGGAATATTTTAAAAAGTGTCTTCACACGTCTCCAACACTCTGGCTCACTAGGAAATGATGTCCTATGTCCAAAATTCCATACTGTCTCTTTAATAAAAGAGATGAGCTAGCTGCTGTACACAGAGCCTATTAACAAATCGTAAAGACTCAATTTTTGAAGTGCCATAAACCCTAAATCGCATATGTAATCGCAATCTTTTTTCCAAATCTTTCAGCTCCAGTGACAGTTCTTGTGTGTGTATGTGTGTGAAACAGCTGTAGTATGTTGAGCGCTGCTTATCAAGTGTAGACTTTGTTTAGGATTTTCTGGTTTATTCCCACCTCTGCTGTGGAAATACAGGAGAACTACAGTTAATCCTTAAACACGTTTAACCAGAACATCCATCATTCTCATATTAAACATGCCTGTAGAAACCTGAAAGTTACAGGGACAACCAGGTGAAAGTGGTTTTAAATTCTGGCATACCCAGGTATATGTTACATTTCATTTATTTCACCATAATTTATATAATAAAACAACCTACTAAAATATGACCAATATGAATAAATGTTGCATTTATTTTCATTGCCCCTGTGAATTTAGTATTCATTCATCACATGTGAATAAATGTGGGAGACATTTATAATATCTGAATTGTTGTTTTGGAGATTTGTTTTTAGATCAAATATATAGTTTGGGCGCCAAAGGAACTAGCCAGGCTGGCGCCACCTAGTGCCTCCGCTCAATTTAATTTCTCTTCAGTGATTAGGTTAGGAATCAGAATAAACGAGATGGTTTGCAAGAACCCAGGAAGTGCGAGTCCAGACACCAGCCAATCAGCGAAGAGCCATACATTCTGTGTTGACAACGATTCCCAAGGTCAAGGATTTAAAGCCTGAACAAAGAGAATGTTTGGTGAATTTTATCAAGGGGAAAGACATTATTGCCTCTCTCCCTACAGGATTTGGGAAAAGCTTAATAAACCAATTAACCCCATTTGTGGCGCATTACATACATCACAACGAAATAGCAGCAAATGTTTAAATTTAAAAAAGCATCCGGCAACCGTCAAGTGAACAAATTCTAATGCTGTGAGGTCAGACGGTTTCCACGAAGTGAAACCGGCTGATGAATCAGGCTACAAAGGAACTACATTTCTATGAAAACAAATAGAGGCTACAAAGGAACTAGATTTCTATGAAAACAAACAGGAGGCCAAGTAAGAGCCAGATTTGTGGAGTTGCAAGCCTGCTCAAAGTATTTCTGTGCAGTAAACACAATAAAAGGTCTTTTTTTTTTTTTTACTTACACAATACATGAAGGTGCACTAGTTAAATCATTGCTCTCATGGTCCTCTGTTTCTCCTCTTGTCTTCACAGAGCAGCGTGGCATCCTGACTGGATATGGAGTGGAGTTGCCTTCAGACTGGATGACACCGTCTATAGAACAGGACCATTTTCCTGCACAAAACTTTCAACTTTTGACCACAAACTTGCACCAAATAAACTGCCTGCTCACTACTCCAACCGCCTCTTCCTCTTCCCCTCCTCCTCCCTTTCTCTCTACCCTCAAATTCTCTCCTCTTTTTACTTCTTATTTCTGTGTTTTTAACCGGACGTCTTCATAAATCTTGACTAAACTCTTGGATGACCATGAGCTGGCTGAGCAGGCTGAACCCGCGTGGTCCCGGGGCTCGAACCGGGCGAAACGCTGCCCCCTCTGGCCACTGCATCGCTGACCCGGAGACCTGCCTCATGGTGTTTCAGAATCACTGGAGACAGGTAGGCTACTGCAGAAGGCGTACCAGATCATAAAATGCATTTTATGTCTTATTTTTGTATTTCAAAGATGACATATTATTCTTTTAAAAGGGTGCACTACGTAATGTTTTTGTTGGAGGTTGTGCCATGTGTTTATCTCCATGAAGATGCTATTAGTTGGTCTGGAATGTTACACAATATGGCATCAAATTTAAGACAAACAAGTCAAGTTTCTGATAAGATTTGTGGAGAAGCAATAAAAATGCATAGACAACTTTAATGCCATACCAAGCAAAGCAGTATCTCCATGGAGACAACCAAACTGCAGAATAACCAGAAGAAAAGTTACAATGTGCAACTTAAATCTGCGTTATTCATTTTAACCCTCTCAGGCTCAAATGAAATTTTAGTAACAGGAAAAAATCTGATATTTGGGGAAAATGATCATATGGGGTAGTAATATACAATCCTAACTTTTTTTTGACCTTCACATGCAGTGCGTTCTGGGATGTTGCAGATTTGCAACATTTGCCCGGTGTGGTAAATTAACACTGAAGATGATATGAACGCTAACTTTATTTGTATACCACTTTTCATAATAATGAAAAAATAAAGCACAGTGTAACAGTACTTTACAGTGGCAGAACAACATCACTTTTTCATGTGGTACTCCAAGAAACAATTTTTATACTTTGTAAACAACAAAAGTACTTTACACTTTTGGCAGGCTGTTTGTGTGTAGCCATTCTTGCACAGTCTGCATCTTCCACGTCTATCAGCATGGATGGAAAAAAAGGCTCCTGAGTAAAAAAAGCTCATAAAATCGATTTGGAGTAAGTAGGTAATTGACATTTAGTTGCCTGCCTGGAGAGGGTTAAAATCAAGTCGTTTGATCACAGTGCAGTTTTTTTTTTGTTTTTTTTTAATGACTTACGGATATTTGACTGTTCAACAATGTGAATGAAAGTTAACTTTTTTTGGTCATGGCTTCAATCGTAAAAAGTGATGCTTATAATAACACAGATGAAACGCAACCATTTCATATTGTCTCATCTCTATTGCACTGAAGAGAAGACTAATACTAGAATCCTATCTATTTGGACTGGGAGAGATCGGTTATGTCTAAGGTTTTCATTTACAGATGTGCTGGAATGCAGATTTTGTTCGGACAAAACAGCTAAAGGATTTTCTTTGGAATGTGTGTATGGATAAAATCAGACACTGAACTGAACTGAAATAGACTTGCGTTTCAGTATATTTTAACAGATATGAAGAAACGGCTATACTCTAGAATGTGACGGCTTTAATATTAAAAACAGCTTAATTTAAGAGGGAAAAAAGTGAAGTATTGTTATGTGTTTTTGTTTAATGTAGATAAATGAGTTATGTGTAAAATACTTTGTTATCCACGCTACTGCTGAACATTCCACCAATACAGTTACATGTAGAACATCCTCAGCGTGAAGTTAATACAAAATATCAATACAATTAATTAATGCATAATTATTATCATTATTTAAGGTACATTGTGTAACTTTTCTGGTTTAGAGTTCGTTAAATGCTTGTCTCCAGGGACATGTTTTTTTTTTTTTTTATTTATTCAATATTTTACCAGGTAAGTCAGTCGAGAACACCGTCTCATTTAGAATGACGACCTGGCCAAGAGGCAGAATAAAACAAAAACACAAACAGAAAACACTCACACATCAACCATAACATGAAACAGTGAATAGAGATATAAGACAGTGAAACATTTGCAGATTAAAGATATGAAAGTGTTAAAACCATGTGCAATTATCCTGTAAAATACTGGAATGTTTCACAGTGTGATATTAAAGCTTTCAATCTTCATGGAGACCAAACCAGACCAAGTTACAGGTCAGATCTGTGGAAAGGTGACCCCGCTCAGTCAGTCAGTTTTTCTATGTATTTTTACACTCTAAAACTACCTGTAATTGAATAAATGTAAGGTTGAGCTGTTTAAAGACGTACTGTGGAACATTCCAGGCAGAGCAATGACATATCCATAGAAACAAGCAGGCGACGGACCCTCCACCAGAAAAGTTACACAGCGCATCTTTAAACTAGATACATTTTTCGTTTCAACAAATGCTATCCAAATCAGACAGCAGCATAAGTATTTTCTCCCATGATCTTTGCGTAACTTTGAAAGCAGTTTTGTAACCCTCAGATCAGATCCAGTTTGTTGATTATCGGCTGCGGCGGCTCCTCCTGTGGTCACGCTGAGTCAAGGCGTCTGAGTCAATAATGTTACTAAACTCTGCTGTTTGTGTCTGAGCTCGGACTGAGTGAACATATTCTGTTTAACCAAGTGTCACACTCAATTATAGTGCACTGGACTGAGGACCGAAAACAACACAACAGAAAACATTGATTGTGGTGTGTTGGAAATGCTTAGACTGTGAGTGTAGAGCAGAATTCTCAGCGTTTTCACTCAAAGTACTATCTACTGACCTGTATTTCCAATGTACAGAACCAATGGACCCTGTACCGCAGTTTGAGAAGCTCTGGTCTAGACAACACAGATGTTACAGTATATCTTTTTATATTTTTTAATGAGACAATACAAAGAGCATGCATAGTACACACTTTACATAGCCTACAAGAGATTCAACAATAACAACGCTACTTGTTATGTTTATATCAAAAATAAAAACAAAGAATTCAGCAGATGTAACTGTTCAAATAAACTTTCTAAAAGGGTGTTTCTGTAAAAGGCAGCACATTACTGACATGATTCCATGGAAATAGAAAGTTAAAACCATAGATGGGAGTTAGTGCTACACCGTACTGTCAATTTTGTAGACACATGTTTTTCAGTTTTCAGTGCAATAAAAAAATCCATATAGAAAAATTTGAATATAGAATAATATATAGAATATTTTCTATAATATAGAAAAACATGTAGGGCCTTTAATTGTTCTTAGAAAATATTTATATTTTGTCAACATCACCTGCAAACAGTATTTGTTCAACATTTTTAAATGAACATTTTACACACTGTTTCCTTCTCATGCCGTTTCTGTTCAGGTGTCCTGGATCTTGGAGCAGCGTGAGCCCTCCTCTTCCAGCGATGATCTGACTGCAGTGAGGAACCACACAGACCAGATGCTCTGTCTGTTGGCAGAGGAGCGCCCAGGTGAACAGGGTCCTTCACATGACTCATTTACTATTAGGAAAATACTGAAGTGTGAGCTTTAATTAGTGTCAACATTATTTGCTTAATAATGATAATTCATCATTTAAATTAAATCTATTCTTAAAGGAGTCCTAAATGTAAAGTGACTTTTTTATCTGTCTGTTTCTATCACATTAATATGACTTTATCGTTCAGAAAAGTTTGATTTTATAAGCTCCTTCGTTTCACATGCGTCACTGAATAAAAACATATTTAATTTCACATTTGGTCAGTCTTGAGATGTGAGAGAGGGAGTGGAGACCAGGCTATCTCTGTTTAAAAAATACACAGATATCATTCTGGATTTGTCAGGCAACAATCGTAGAATCATAAATAAATCCTAAAACAGTGATCTTTCTTCTCACAATAATATGATATTGTAACATCCGTTTTGATAATATTATAAATAATGTAATATTATAAATGTATAAATAATATTAATAATTTTTTATCCTGCCAATCAGGTGAGAGTCCAGACCTGGGCGACTCTGTGTCTCCTATGGGCCCCATCTTGGAGCTGGTGGTGACTGAGAACGTTCTGGAGAGAGTGGTGCAGTGGCACATTCGACGTGGTCTGGACCTGGACAGCCAGGGGGCGCTGCTGAAGCTGTTTGAGATGCTGATCGGCCAGTCCCATCAGCCCCTGCTGCAGCACACTGCGGTGCTCCACCCTCTGCTCCGGCTCCTGGGGGCCTGTGGGGACACTGAGCTGGGCTGTCCTGCTGCGCTGGAGAACAGCCTGGTGCTGTTACTCAACCAGGTACAAACTATATATGTTTGATATTTTACAGTTGACGTCATCAACATTAACTGGGGGAATAGAATTTGAATAGATTTTTATTCCTGCTGAAACAAATGAATTAAAATTATGGACGCAGTAATCACATAACTGGTAACATTGCATCTTATATGATATTGGTACTAGAGGAGAGCTGGAGCTGTTACTTTGTCTGGAATATTCCATATTGTGGCATTTCATTTATCTTGTAGTTATAATGATTCTACACCACTGTGTCACCTGCTTGTCTCCATGGAAATGAATAAGTTACAGTTTAATGCCATTCTTTAGAAGACTCCAGGCAAACCAATAACATGTCTATGGTGTATGGAAAGTGGTACTGTAATAGAGTGTTGAGGCAATTCCTTAGTATCAAAATCAAGTTTGAAATGGTAGTAACGTGACAACACTGCTATAGTGGTATAGAGATAATGCAGCAGGCACAAAAACACTTTTGAACTCAAATTAGAAGACAGAATGAACATTTAGCAAATACTATGAACCATCTCCCTCATGTCTCTGTCCTCCTCAGGTGTGTGTGACCATGGCCCGTCAGCCCGTGGTCCTGGAGCTTCTGTTCAGAGCAGCTCCAGCTCAGCACGGCTCCACAAACCTCCTGATCTTCTCTCTGCTGGTGCCCTTCATCCACCGAGACGGAGCTCTGGGGCAGCAGGCCAGGGACGCGCTGCTGCTGGTGATGGCTGCCTCTGCCTCTCATGAAGCTGTGGCCCGGTACATCTCAGAGAACTCCTACTTCTGTCCGGTGAGTACCCGGGATGGAACAATAAACAATAATATCGTGATAAAAAGGGTAGACAATAATCATTTATGGGACATTTTGTATAATCGTTATCATCTCCATAATGTGTACAAAAAAGCTACTTATCCATGATGTTCTATGGAATCTAATCATAATATTAAAATGACAATTATTCATATCATGATTATCATGATATTATCACTAATTATTTTGCCCATGAAAATCTTGACACTAAATTTCAATATGGTCCCATGCCCACCAGTGAGGAGCAAGTAGACATTAGCAGTATTCCCCATTAATAGAGGAGATTATGTGATAGGGCATAGTAGGGCTGCAAGATGAATCAAAATCAAATCTAAATTGCTATTTGAATGGATGGATACAAATCTGTCTTTTTCTGTATAAAAACTGCTAACCCTGTTGCTTAGATTTATAACACAATTTTACCTGTGATGACACTGTGCACATGAGATAAACAACATCAGTGAATCACATGCGCACATCCGCAAGTATCCCTGTTATGAGACAGTATTCTGGATGTGGCCTTTAAATGCACTCAGAGAAACCAGAATACTGATGTCCCTGTATACATGCGCCATCTGAGTATCCTGAATATTTAGAGTGGTTGCTATGGTAACTATGGCACATACGACAAGGAGCTAAACATGTAGCAACTTAAAGCTTTTTAACAGATTTCTAACATAGACATTCAAGTAAGAATATAAGACTGTGGAGTTTTGTCACAGCTTCAGTAAAAGGTTTTTTTTTTTTTTTTTACAGTTGAACAATACAAATGAGTCTCACAGCATCAGTTTAGTTCAAGAGCAGCATAGACAGACACAGAAGTGAGCCTGGTTTTAAAATATTACTTGTAAAATTCCTTAAATATTACTTTAAAAATGTCCTGGTAGAAGTTTGAGGCATTTTGAGAAAGTAACTGCTTCTATCATATCTGGTACTTTAGTTCGCCCATGCTCAGTAAAGCACCGGTGTTGAGAAATAAGGATACTGCGTCTACATGTCACAGTATCCTGGATACTTTCAAAAAAAACACAAACCAGGACACTGTCTCATCCAGGATTCTTAAGTCAGGATACTGTGTTTACATGAACATACACATAAACAGGATACTCAAGTACATGTAAGAATTTTCTGCACTATTATGCGTTCTAGATTATAAGGCACACTGTCATAGAATGGTCTATTTTTGAACTTTTTTCACAAATAAACTGGACTTTAAATGACACACAACAGTCAGATGGGTCAGTGGGACTTTGTTTGGCGCGTTCACAGTGACTCTGGGCTTTGTTCAGTTGTGGCGTGTAGGGAGGGTGTTGTCTGGGACCGCTGGATTGTCGGCGTGTTCACAGTGACTCAGATGTTCAGTTGTGTCTAGAAGTGGCACATTGCACTCACTTTTTCGCCATTGGCTGCAGGTGTTTTTCGCTGTCTGCCCCGTACGTGTTTGCGTGAAGTCGTGCTGGGACACCCGAGTGGATTCGTGTATAGGGCACTCTGGATTGCTAGGCGCGCAGTCATTTTTTGATGGGCTTGGAGGCTTAAGAACGCGCCCTATAGCCTGGAAGATACGGTATACACACTCATTCTTGTGGCACAAAACCTTGTCTCATTCAAAGTCATAATACAGTATGGGATCCTTTGTTCAGTTCAACCATCATTTGCCTTGTATTTGTTTATATGGCACCTGAACTGATAATCTGAACATGCAAAAACAGTTTGATATAACTGTATAACACCACTGCATGCAGAGCAGTTGTTTCAGGTGCCCTTACTCAGACCTAGCCAAATGCATATGCTCTTAAGCTAATGCTGTCTTCATTGCATAACCCTCCCACAGGCTGCAGTTTGTCTGTATCTGTGAATCATCATGCAAAACCACATTAACACCAGTCTTATCTGAACTACACAGCCAACAGGATCTTGTATTTCCCATCGTTAGAATTATAATATTGCGTTTTGTTGAAGGTTACAAACTTCCCAACTAAGGCTGCAAGATGAATCGCAAATGAATACAAATTTGAACGGACGCAATTAGCAAATCACAAAGACTGCAATTTTTAGTACCATATTTTCCGTCACAAACAACAAAATCTCCTGTCTTATTCTGCATAAAAACTGATAACCTTGATAGTTTACTTCTGTACAAACATGCTCTGAAATCTGAATCTTGTATCAATTTGTCAGTTCATATTTCTTTTTATAATTTCTTCTAGATGTGTTTAAAATGTGAACTTTGGACAGAATCCTATTACCGTATTTTCCGCACTATAGGACGCGCTCTTAAGCCTCCAACCCCATCAAAAAATGACTGCGTGCCCCGCAATCCAGAGCGCCTTATACACGAATCCACTCTGGTGTCCCAGCACGACTTCGGTAAAATACAAAGCCGCACCATCAACAGCGCACGCAAACACGCACGGAGCAGACAGAGACCGCGCAGCGAAAAACACCACAGACACTCATAACTCCACGCGGACGAGGAACGGCACGGAGGAACGAACCGAAAAAGCGAGTGCAATGTGTCACTTCTTAGACACGACTGAACAACTGAGTCACTGCGAACACGCTGACAATCCAGCGGTCCCAGACAGCACCCTCCCTACACGCCACAACTGAACAAAGCCCAGAGTCACTGTGAACGCCACAAACAAAGTCCCACTGACCCATCCAACTGTTGTGTTTTGTTTAATGCGCCTTATAGTCCGGTGCGGTTTATTTGTGAAAAAAGTTTGAAAATAGACCATTTAATGACAGAGCACCCTATAGTGCAGAAAATACAGTACTAAAACAGAAAAATCCGATGGCAATGCTGTCAGAAAATGTGATACTTCTTTCCAAATCATTCAGCCCTATTCTATTTCCCACCTTTAAAATTACAAAAGTATTTTTTTTTTGGAGATGATAAAGTTGATCAACTCAGTGTTGCTCATAATTTCTTGGTTTTTAGTTGACTAGTTTCTTTACTAACTTTGGTGTGGCTGTGAGATCTAGTCATTTCTAATTCATGATCAGCTTTTTACAATTTTTTAATCTATATTATAAGGTTGTTTCTGTCATCAAAAACGTACCTGGATTTGTGTTTTGTGTCGTTGCATATTTAGGTTGTGTTCTTCTCCCAGACAGAAAACACTTGTTCCACCTTGTGATGTGAGACGTGTCATGACATGAGTTAATTTTGCATAGTCTAGATTCTAGAACCTTTAAAGGTGCACTGTGTCACATTTCCAGTACAGGGTCTGTCACTTGGTCATTTCTTTTTCTTTTTTCTTTTTTTTTTGATTGTGATTCTTTTTAATTACTCTGCAGCATTGATATTACAGTGTTACAGATCTGAAACTTCATAACCTAGGATGAAGAAATTATGTTCAGTGGTATCTCCATAAAGTTCTGTATGAGTATAGAACTATGAAATAAGAACAATATAAAAAATAAGTAATATAGCATAGTTCTATAAGCGTGACTACGTATGAACTCCACAAATAGGAAAAGTAGTAATCACATTTAAGATAAAACATAAAGGGGAAACTACCTCAGGCGAGTGATCACAATCTCCAAAGACAGTGGGGCTTTTCCTCAGTGTCTGATCTGCAGGCAGCGTGTTGTCATTGTAAGACAAGACAAACTTAAAGTCACTTGTCCTGGATCCAGTTGTCATGTATCCATCATAGTTGTAAGTGCTGCGTAAAGTTCCTGTGCTGTCAACATCTGCATAATCAGGAGGCAGATAACCACTGGGGATTGCAACTGCTCCTCCTGCGACAGCTCACTTGTACACGTCTCTAATGCACTACCCTCTTTGGAATTGTTCAGATTTGCTTTACACATATGTTCTTGATGCATATTTAGATAGTTAGGTACCAGCCCCTAGTATAATAATGTACATTTGTGAAATAGAGGTTTAATTTGTTGGTGTGATACCCTTGAGCATACACTAGGAGGTAGTAGAGAGACGTAGATTTCCCTGTGCTCGATCAGTTCATATTTCTTACTTCTTCAGAGTGATGTGTGTGAGTGGGTTGTTAACAGCACACTGACAAAACTAGAAATGTTCTTATTTCTTGTTATGTCATCCACTTGTACATTTGCATCGAACCGCTAATCACTGTCTTCCCTTGGTTATTATTTACGTATTTTGCCTTTGTTTTGCCTTTTCTCACATCACTGTCAAGGGCCAGGCTCAGTGAATTTCGGTTTGTACAATTCTGAACAGCTTAGACCAACTTTGAGATGCAGAGTCATGTTGGAAGCGCATTGTTACCAAGTTTTTTATCTTATGCAATTTTATTTATTTCATTTCAACTCTGCTCTAAACCATGCTTTTACTGGCAGAGGATTTACTGTAGACTCTCCATTAAAGGTCTTATGCAGCACTGACTCTTGTGAGCTTTCAGCCTTGTTAGAATATTGTTACCTCATCAAAAACAAACCCGGAGCTGTGTTTTGTTTTGTTTCATTCACACATGATTGATTAGTCTGTCTACATCTCTAAAGATCGATAATTGCAGAGCTGGAATTATCTCAGTGATTCAAGTGAAGGTGTATGGATTCGAGCACTTCCTGTCTTACCATATGATATCACAAGGCGGTACAGAATGTTTTGTGTCTTAAATATGCAGTAATCATGTGTTAAATATGTGTGAATGAAACAAAATGGATTTAAACAACAACTGAACAATACAGGAATTCATTACTGAAAAACTGTTGACTAACTTGTTATTGCAGTTTAGTGCGAGAGACTTAAGAGCACAAATCATCATAGTCCAACTAAGGCTACGTTCAGACTGCAGGGCTTAACGCTCAATTCGGATTTTTTTGTGAAATCCGATGTTTTTGCGAAGTCGTTCACATTTCCAATTAAATGTGTCTTGTATGTGACTCCAGTGTGAACATTAAACGGCCCAAAAGTGTCCCGCATGTGCACTGGAGACACGATGACGTCAACCGCAGCGAGCGTCTCTGTGTTTACGGAACTTGTCCAAACATGGACGTGAGCATTGAGCACCTGGAGATTTTAAAGTTTCTCTCGTACCGGAGCCAGAACATGTACAACTTATTAGTTTTAAGGAGGAGATTGAGAAGGAGAAGGATGAGGTTTTTGGCCGTGGTGTTTTGTGAGGCTGTGGCAGCAAAGTCCGTTGAAAGAAACGTGTGGATGTGGAGACGGAGCCGTGAGTGGTGATGTGCTTCACTTCAGTGACACGGAGTTCATTAACAATTTCCGCCTACTTCAGCACAGAATAGTGATGTTTGTGGCTTGTTGATAACGTGTAGGTCGAATGAATGCGCTTTGGCCGTTCAGACTGAAGTCGCATGTCAAAAGATCAGATATGTATCGGTTTCAGGAGCACATATCCAAGTGTCCTGGGTCGCATTTGAAAAAATTGGATCTGTGTCGTTCAGACTGTCATTAAAAGATCAGATACAGGTCACAGGGGCCAAAAAATCTGATTTGGGTCACTTTCAGGCTGCAGTCTGAACGTAGCCTAAGTCACCTATTTCTGTACAGATCATTGTTTGAGCTTCAGACAGAGCAGAGCCTAAATATTGATTCAATACTGTAACATCTTGCTCCTCTCTTCTCCGTCCAGGTGCTGGCCACAGGTCTCAGTGCGCTCTACTCGTCTTTGCCCAGAAAGATTGACGTTCGTGGGGACGACTGGCACGCACTGAGGAGGGAGGACTGGATGGGCGTGTCTTCTTTGGTTCTCTTCATGAATTCTCTGGAATTTTGTAACGCTGTGGTCCAAGTCTCTCACCCTCTGGTCCGAACTCAGCTCCTCGACTACCTCCACAATGGCTTCCTGGTGCCAGTGATGGGCCCCGCACTCCATAAGGTATACACTTGTTCTCAGTTAAGGTCCTATATTATGCTAAATTGTGTTAGAAATACCTTTACCTCATCTAAAATATACTTGGAGTTGTGTTTAGTTTCACTCACACATGTTTGGGTAAATTTATTGGTCTGTACGTCATATTTTCTGCAGTGCTAATCACTACTGCCCTTGTGGAATATGCGATTATCATATTGTATAATAATGAATTAATAATGTATAAAGCAATCAAGAACCGCTGGTCCTGCAGTTCTATTTCATCCCTGCTGACATGCACGCAGGGAATTATTCAGTGCTTTCAGTATCACACTCTGGCAGTCGTCCAGGATTCATAGAACTGTAGTTACATTTTTAAGTTTAGATTTTTACTGGGTGTAACTTGCCTCTCGACCTCTCCCCTTTTCTCTTACACATTTCGCTCTTCTGTTTGTCCCTCTCCCCCCAGTCCTCTGTGGATGAGATGATTGCGAGCACAGCATACCTGGACCTGTTTCTGCGCTCTGTGTCGGAGACCTCTCTCCTCAGGACCTTCCTCCGGTTCATCCTCCTCCATCGCCATGACAACGACACCATCTTAGACACTCTTCTCACACGCATCAGCAGCAACTCCAGGGTCTGTATTATATCTGTCAACCAGGGATGTCACTATGTTGAAATTATAGTGTTTGAAATGTCTGAAGATAAAAGCAGTTTATATACAATTATTATTTAAGACGCTTGGACTGATCCCAAACAACAACAGAACATATTTCACAAACACAAAACATAGGATAGAACTTTATTGAGCAGAGGAGTCACTAATTTCATTGTCACTGGAGTTTTAAATACACAATAAAGAGCAGATGATTACAGTATAATGAAATTGTGCAATAATTATTTTGAACGTTAAATGATTTGGTACTGAAAATAATCATTCAAACGCTTAAAGTCAAACATTAGTTATTAGCATACAGCTAATCATCATTGTGTCTTGTCCTGAAGAAATTTAGACAAAGTGTATTATGTGGGCGGTGTGTAGGCCCAGAGTGATGAAGTGATTGGAAAATAATATGAAGTCACTGGCTTATAAAAGACCAAAACTATGGATATCCACATTTTTACAAAATAAAATAATGTATATCAGGTGTAGCTGAGGTTGTTGTCGAATAAACAGATTCTTGGTCAACTAAATGCAAGTCCTTGTGGAGTAGAAAAAGGACGGCAGAGGCACTCTGATTTGTGGTTTATTTATTAATAGTCACGCCAACGCGTTTCCACTACTTAGTCTTCATCAGGGCTGATTGAGTGAGCAGCAGGTGTGATCATTTATAGGGGTCGTGACCCCAGACACGTGATACTTAAAAAAATGTTGAACCCAAGTATATTGACAACATACCATTCATAACACAACAGAGAAAAGTCATAAGTCACAAGACTGCACCTACAAGGGAATTCAAGCAAAAACAACTTAATGCAGAAAGAAGTACAAGCATGAGCTAAATCTGCTTTTTTTTCTTGAGCCAACTCATTTGTTCACTGACTTCTCCTTTCTGCTGCTGCTGCCTTATATAAATTCTTATGACCTAAATAAAACAGTTTGCCGAATACACCACTAAGACTAAACGACTATAGACTATATTGCCCTAGTTACAGCTTGCAAAAAGAGGCAGGATCATATGTTATTTTCAACAGTTTTGATAATGCTCTTAAAATAAACTATTTTATGCTGTTGTGTTCCAGCTCTGCATGGTGTCTCTGAGCCTGTTCAGGACTCTTCTGTCTCTCCATTGTGAAGACGTGATGCTGCAGCTCGTTCTCAGGTAGGCCTGAAATATTATTTTGTGTTTTCAGTTTGACAGAAGAACCTAAATATGCAGGGTTTGTGTTTAAATGAAACAAAACACACCTCCAGGTCTATTTGTGATGAGGAAGGAAATATTATAACATAGATGAGAAAATAGCAAAATATAAACTATTTATGTGAATCTTTTATGCTTCGCAAAAGTTTTCTAATTTACGCAATTCAGGATTAACTTCTGATGTCTCCTGCCAAGTCAATCCTTAATATTAGATTAGAATAGATTTATTGACACCTGTATAAACTTGGAGCTACATTTTTGCCATGTTTTCTTTGCCTCCCTCAGGTATCTGCTGCCCTGCACTCATGTGATGCTGAGCCAGCGCAGAGCCATCAGAGAGACCGACCTCTACGGGAAATCTGCCAACAAGTTCCTTTCCCTGATCCCCGAGTGCTGCCGACAGAGCACAGCGCCCTCTACGGACCGGGAGGATGACACTGCTTTCTGGGGAAAAGGTCAGAATAACTTCAACTGTACGGGCTACAATAGACTGTGTTCATGTTCTACAATTTGATTATGTCCTCATTTCATTTCTTTTTTTTAAATATCCAGACTTCTGATCCGTACACTTTGAACCTTTTCGAACCTTATCATATTTGTTTGGGATTGGCTCCACAAACATTATTTGTAAGGCTAAACGTCCTATCAGCTGATCTGAATAATGGCACCACTTTTATGAGCTATTGCGAAAGGATAATTTCACTTTTGTTTATCTAAGATGACACAGAAGACATTGAACTGTGAGTGAGTTTTTGTTTCACGTGGATTCACCCGGTAGTTCGAAAGAGATGAACCATAAACCAGGTCAACAAATCTGCAGTTTGACAGTTAAACAGCAAATTCCAAGGCACGAGACGTGTTTAACAGCTCTAATAATCTCACCTGTTGTCATTCCAACTCAGTTCAAGTCAGTTCTTAATGGTCAGGTGGTGTTATATTAAAGCCCAGATAAAGTATACGTTGAGGAACATTTTCAAACAGAGAAGTGCCTCCAGACCTGAACGATCTATTGTTTTGGAAATCGAAAATCGCAATCTCAGACAACACGATTTTGGGAGCATGTTTTTTTGCAGTGCTCCGAACTGACCAAGGTTTTGTTTCGTCGACTATTTCACACTTGTATTCATCATCAGCATCCCTCTGTCACTGAAAGAACACCAATATTGCACTGAGTCGTGTCCTTTAGTCCGACATCAGTGCACAAGGAGCGAGAAGCTTTTTTTTCAGCTCTTAACATTTATGCAAATTAGTCATGCGGTTTTAAGTTTTGTTTCTGTGGTTCTGGTTTATATTGTCTAGATTAGTAATAGTAATAATAGTGATGATCATTTTAATATCAAACGTTAATGATTTGAATTTTGAATTAAGTGAAGACCTGGTTTAGACCTGGTTTAAAACCTGGTTTAGTCCTGGTTCAGTAGCCCTGGTTCAGTCCTGGCTTAGTCCTGGCTTAGACGTGGTTTAGTCCTGTTTTAGATCTGGTTTAGTCCTAGCTTAGTCCTAGCTTAGTCCTGGCTTAGTCCTGGGTTAGACCTGGGTTAGACCTGGGTTAGTCCTGGTTTAGTCCTGGTTTAGTCTTCCTGTTTCAGTCCTGGTTTAGTCCTGGCTTAGACCTGTTTTAGTCATCGTTTAGTCCTGTTTTAGTCCTGTTTTAGTCCTGGTTCAGTCCTGCTTTAGTCCTCCTGGTTTAGTCCTGGGATCACACCTGGTTCAGTCCTGGTTTAGTCCTGGTTTAGTCCTGGTTTAGTCCTGGTTTAGTCCTGGTTCAGTCCATATGCGACGCAAAAGTTCAGCATCTCGTTCAATGTTTCGTCTGCTCAATAAATAATGCCAGTGAAGTGATGACGTATTTTTGACAGTAGTAGTCACTCCGAGCACCGACAGGTACCCGACTCGGTGCAGGACTCTGGTATGATTTAAGTTTCTGTGATGTTTACAGATGTTCCTGTGCACTGAAACTTAATTTGAAAAAAATCATGTATGAAATCGAAATCGCAATATCTACCAGAAAAATCACAATAAAATTTCGTTCAGCCCTAACCGGGAATGTTCATGACGTTAGCTGTAAATAATCAGTTACTTTGTAGAGAATGTTCCACAGTGTGGCATTATTAAGTTTCCTGTTCTTCCGTCACAGCGCTCTCCAGCCCCTCCACCGAATCGCCGGCCCCTCACCGCCCCAGCACGCCGTCCCGCCTCTCCTTTTTCATGAGACAACAGAGCGCCGGGACCGCCCCCTCCCCCGGCGCCACCCAATCCACTCCACCCGCCACGGAACACCCACTCTCCCCCGAGGGCACCCCAAACCCCCAACAGAACCTCACCGAATGCCTGGAATGGGACTGTGGATACCTGGAGTACCTCAAAGATGCCCGGAAAAGCGTGGAATTCTGCTCCTGGGCTTGTCGAAACTGGTCCGCCCCTTACGACGGCGAAAACCCCTCCCCTAACTCTGCCCCCTTGCCGCCTCCCCCGCCCACTTCCAATCCATCGATGACCATGTTTCCTGAGCACTTTTCCGTGCAAGGTAATAGTAGTTCTAATACGCCTCCGAATCAAAGGCCGGCGATCGTAGCGGCTGCCAGATCCGAGTGGAGTAGTTCGGAACGAGACAGCGGCGAATGGGACGTTACGATCGGGAAAAATAACTGCATAAGCTTAACACCGAGATCGAAAAAACGTAGCCTGCAGCGCGAAGAACTTTTACCAAAACCCGTCCCCCCTTTGGTACCATCTTCTGCGACTTCAACGACAAATTTAACAACTTCGCACACATCTCCTGCTTCCCATAACCAGTCTACCACCATTACCGTAACCTACAAACCCTTGCTCAACGGCACGGCGGCGCAAAACGACAGCCAAGATAGAGATTTAGAAGTTAAAAAGGTGAAAAGAGACTTGGATGAGCAGCAATACCTGGACGAAAACGCCAATCAGAATGGGTCCGTTTTGAAATGCACGCCGCAGAGTTGTAATATTTTTAGTAACGATTTAAGCGAAGGGACAAGCAGTAGTTCGATCGTAACGCAGGAGCTGGAAGACAGTAACCAGTCCGTTGAAAGTTTGATAGACGAGTTACTGGAGCAGGCGCCGGAAGATTCAAAGTCTCCCATGGAATCGAACGGGCAGGGGATCAGCATCGAGGCGTTCACGCAGGAGCTGAGGGAGCTGGAGGATAGAGTGAAGGAGAGGGTGAGGGAAGTGTGTCAACAAGAAGAACCGAATAAAGAGGAGAGGCAGACGCAGCAGCAGCACCCCCTGGAGGACGAGACGGGGATGACGGGAGGAGAGGAGGGGAGAGGAGAAAGCGCTGCGATGGCTCTGTGCAGTCCTGCGAGACCTATGAACCAGCCTGCAGCTCAGCCATACACAGGTAAAAACTAGGTCGTTTTCACACCGCTAGTTCGATTATTTGGTCCGCACCAAGCAATAAAATTGTTATTATGTAGCAAATACACTCCAGTGTGGTCCGTTTTCACACCGGCAAACGAACCAAAACTGGTTCGATTCACGTGTCTCTGTTTCCCCGGTAAAACAGCGATACTCCAGTTATCAACACCGATGTTCCTGTTAATACCACGGGCCGTCCTCATCTCAAATTATCACCATGAACTCATAAAACAGCAACATGTAGAACTTTGTACAAACTCACCGCATCAGCCCAGAGCTCGGGTAACAGCAGCAGCCAACAGCGCTCAAAGTAGCGCGCAGCTCCTCAGGACGGGGCTGGGGTCTGGTCCTTGGTCTTCTGTTACAAGCGCGTTGGTCAGATGGTCCGGAGGCTCATCCTCCATGTGCTGGTTCCAAACGGTGGCGAGCAAGACCAGTGCGCAATGACTGGGTCTGAGCGGGTACGTTCAGTCGTCTGTGCGCGCTGTTTCCGTGCGGGAAAAGCAAGAATGCGCTGTGGACTACAGGTCCGGCGCGCTGCTCCGGTTCTCCGCGCTCAAGAACCGCGGCTGGTTCCGAGGTGGTGCAGCATCCGGACAGAAGCGTGAGTCCAGTTTGGTTTGTTATGTTTTTCTGAGCGTCCGTCCTCTGCGCATTTGGTTCTTCCCGGGGAAAGCGCTTCCTCAGGTCGAGGCTCCCCGCTCCAGCTCCTCTGAGCCCGGCCTGAACTGGAGCTGCCCCCGCTGGTTCAGGACTCTGGTTTGGATCTAGTCCGACTGTATTTCTCACACTAGGCTAAAAGCAGGGACTTTTTTTAAGTTGTATCAATTGAATGGGCGATTGCCTATTGCCATGAAATTATTTGGTTAATTAAAGCCTAAAATAACAAATGTTGGTTGCTGTGTGATCACGGGGAACACCGGGTCGTCTCTGTGCGTGTAGGTCCCGAACAGGGGTACGCACCCCCAATTTTGACTCACTCTGGAGCCACACGTTCGCACACTGATACTTGCTCTGATCTTCGTGTATTACGTTCTCAGTAATGGCCATTGTTGGTAAAATGATTCGAAAATGAATCGCGTCTGCGTCTGGACAACAATCTGTTACTGCGCTGGAGTCGTACAGCGCGTCATTTCAGGCAGAGGAGACGCGTTTCTCCCATGATGCATTTCGAATAGTCCGTTTGTCCATACTGTCTATGGTTTGGACCCGGGTTCGCGTTCACACCAGAGGAACCGCACCAAAGTTGGTCATTTGGTGCGGATTCAAGCGAACCGAGACCACCTCTTTTTTGAGGTCTCGGTCGCTTGATTTGGTTCGGGTCCGAGTCCGATTGACGCTTTCACACCAACGCAAACGAACCGAACTAACCACTTTTGGTTCGAATGGACCGTTTGGTGCGCACCAAATACTGTCGGTGTGAAAACACCCTAAAAGTAATAATGCTAATAAATAAAGATGTAACAATAACCGAAATATCGTGATATTGTATTGTCAAAAGTCTTACAATAATACCGTGGGCTGTCACAATATAGCAAATCACAAGTTCCTTTGCTTAAATTCATTGTTTTAAAGTAGCAACAGCTTATAAACATTGGGAACTACATATCCCATGATTCATTTCAGTGCAGACAACATGAAGAAATATGATTTTTACTTGAATTCTTGGGATTATGACGGTAATAATTCACACAAAAATCTTGTCAAGGTATTTTAAAAGCAAAAAAGCATCTTATCTGCAGTTATATCAGCTTTTCCAAAATATCGCAATAAATATTTTACTGTGAGATGCATATCGTAATAATATTGCACCGAGAGACTTGGATACCATTACATCTCTACTAATAAATCTTGCTCACTAATGTTCAGATATTTAAAAATGGTCACTACTCTCAAAATTGATGCAGAAAGTTTCAATATTTAAACAAAAACATTCATTTTCTCAAATTTTTTTTTATCATCACGGTATGAACCTCACTGTACAATATTTGTTGCAATATTTTGTGGGCGCGAACAAAACTGTGAATATGTTACTTTTTCTCTTAAAATGCCTTGACAATTATTAACCCAAAGAACTAAGACTTAAAAGTGCTTAGAACTGATATTTCTTCTTGTAGTCTGCACTGAAATGGAGCAAAGGATCATGGTCTATGTAGTTCCATCTGTCTTTTTTTTTTTTTTTTTTTTGCCGTTGCTGCACCATAACTCTTAATTTAAGCGAAGAGTCTTGTAATTCGATATATTGTGATGGTCCACGATATTATTGTGAGAACTTTGATGATACGATATCATGATATTTCGGTTATTGTTACATCCCTAGTCATTGTTCATCTGATCTAGATAAATTGTTTAAAAAAAAAAAAAAAGACACTCAAAACAAAGTGCTTTACATCAAGGAATCCATACACACACACACATTCATGCATCAGTGTCCACAGAAACTGGGGCAAGGTAGGTGAAGTGTCTTGCCCAAGGACACAGCAGTATTTATATGTGAAAGCTCAGAACCTCCAGAATTCCCTTCCCTGAGCTGCAGAGGCTGCACTAGCACCGATTCATGATGGCTGCAGGTGTCGGGGTTTAGGTAGTGACCATTCAGATCAGGAGAGTCCTTTTAGGTGTACGCCAACTGGATTTGGCATTGAAACTGGCAACGCAAATGAAAGACTCAGTTTTCCGTTCTCAGAAGACCTTTATCTTCTTCACTGAGAGCTCGGTTCTTTCCCTCTGTCTCCTCCTGCAGGTCCGTTCATGGTGGTGCTCTTCTCAAAGCTGGAGAACATGCTGCAGAACTCTCTGTACGTGAACATCTTGCTCACGGGCATCGTGGCTCAGCTGGCGTCGTACCCTCAACCTCTGCTCCGCTCCTTCCTCCTCAACACAAACATGGTCTTCCAGCCGAGTGTCAAGTCTCTCATACAGGTAGCACTATTGTAAACTGTGCAGTGTCTGATGCTCGAAACTTAATTTTGTTGTTTTTCTATGATAATGACAATAAATCTCTGAATCGAATCCATCTCTCTCTTTCTCTTCCCCTCTGTCTCCCCCTTGTGTTTGCTTCAGGTGTTGGGTTCTGTGAAGAATCGCATTGAGGCGTTTGCTGCGTCTCATGAGGACTTCCCTGTGATGCTGAGGAAGGCGCAGCAGTACCTGGTGTTCAGAGGCCGAGTGGACTGGAGCGACCTGTCCTCTGTGCCTCCGCTCCGCAGATCTGACTCTCTGGGTACGAAATGCACCGCTACACTCCTGCACCCCCTCAGGACACAGAGAGGAGACGGTTTTAATAGTCTGAGCAGAATACTGACATTGGGAAATTGGTGCTATTGATACATTGCAGAGACATCATGCCGGGGGGTGTTCTACATTTACGTGTATGGCAGAATGGTTCCAACACTAGCAAACACAGCCAAAAAAGTTTTAATATTGTCTGAGAATTTAAGAAAAAATTGAAGGTTTAAGAAAAAATCTACAGATTTAAAAAAGCACATTTGTATTAAACTGTGATCAATACGGCTGACCATGGTCTTGTTTAGGTGTTTAATTTTTAACAAAAAGGTGACAGTGACTAGACTAACTGAAAAACTGTCAGTTAATGTGTATTAGCTTGTGACTTGTATGTATATCTACGTCTATCTATCTATATCTATAATTAAGAACAGTATTATTTGTAGTAGTAGTTTTATTCAGTCATTTTGTAGCACTACAAAACAAAACACAACAAAACATAGACTACAACCCCATGGATCATGACCAAAAGGGTTAAGGCTGAAATATAAAGTACTTATAATGCCAAACCCTTTTAAACAATGACAGAATTCCAAGAAAGAAAAGCAGCGCATGAACAGTCAGTTTGCATTTACAATTTCACGTGCAACTTACTGTGTATATACGAGACAAAATATAACTTCAAACAAACTAAATTTAATGCATAATTCCTTCATTTGAGAGCTCTATATCTTTCAAAACGTAACGCTTTATACTTTTTTTTTTTTTGTAAAAGCTTCTACAGTGTTAGACTTTTTAAAAAAAAATCATCATTCAGATTGTTCCATGTACTAACCCCTCGAACAGAAATACAATCACTTTTTATTTTTTTGTTCTTATCTTCTTTTTTTTTTTTTTAAGTTGTCCGTTTTGTTTTTGTTTATGGTCGTACAAACTAATAGTTATGATAAAGAAGGCACAAAATTGTATCATATTATTAGGCACTCTGTCCATTCTCATGTTACTTGTGAATCAGTTTATAACGTGATAAACTTCTGTCTGTGCAACTGAGAGCACAATATATTCTCCTGTTAACTGTTGGCGGGTTTCAAATTGATCCCAAATGGGCCACGTGGGACAGGCCTTGTCTAAAACCGTGACAAATCACCGGTTTTGTATAAATGTGCTGGACAGGAGACACAGACGTGTTTGGTCAAACTACACCAATACCACTATTTCCTCTCTCTCCAGTGAAGAGCCGTAAACCCTCTCTGGGCGACCTCATCCTTCGCCACACAAACAGCCCCACCCGCGCCCGCCACGCCGCCCAGATCGCCCTCGCCCACGTACGGGACGGTGGCCAGTCCCTGCACAGCGCCCTCTTCAGGAGCACGGGAGGGGGAGCGGCGGGGGGGCTGGAGAAGCAAGCCGAAGCGCTCCGAGTGAAGAACGCAGTCTACTCCGCCGTCATCTTCTGTGAGTTTCTGAAGGAGCTGGCTGCCCTGGCTCAAGAGCACGCAGTCACTTTGCCGTTCGCCAACACCCTAAGCCCGGAAGAATAGGAACTGAACTCGCAACTTTTCACAACGCACTGATGAAGCATTGACTTGGGTAGGTTTTGTACATTGAACTGGAAAATGTCCTCCACAGTGCAATGATTTTGTGAATATGATGTATTATAATGACAGAGTATCACTGTAAAAAACATGATATGTGGAATAGTGAAGAAAGCCACATACGGACACTTAGGTGCACACTGATGCTGGTGCTAAGTTTAAGTTTTTTAGAGTGACAGAAATCAGTGTTTATTCTTTACAAATTACACAAACCAAATTATAATCAAAATCAGGCAGGAAATCAAATGTCGGTAGAGGTCTGCTACATGCACATGGATTAGTGTCACTATACTCAAATTTCAAACTCTATTTCGATACAAAAGAAGAGACTCAATACACAATACCGATTTTGTTAACCAAGTCAAAGCTCTTTTTTAGACAGTATTGTCATTTTCAACACGATATAGTATTTGTTTACTATACCATGTGATTGAGTTGTGAAGTAGATTAATGATTTGAAATTGTGAAAAAATACAAACCCATGTACATGTAGCCACAACCTTAAATTTGCTCATTATAAGTTAGCGTATTATCTTAACCTCATTTCTGTTTAAATAAGAAACAAACACAGCTGCCGTTCAACCATTTTTTAATTTTTATTTTGAAGGGATTCGTCTGGAAATTCATTCATTGCGATTCATTTCATCGTACATTTTTGCACCATTTTCTCGACATATCATCTTCATATCAGAGTGAACGAACCGTTTGCGTAAAAGGCCATAAGACACGACGCATAGTTTTTTCCTGAACAATTTAAAGGGATTTGAAATTTTGGGGGAAATTGTTTAACTAAAACTGACCAGTCTTCAAAAGGCATTTACATACATATGATTTTTTTTTTTTATATCTCTTTAAGGGGCAAAAGCTAAATTCTCTTTGCTGCTAATTTGAAAAACACTAATATTTTTGCCATTATAAGCTTCTTCATTTCATTTGAAATCAAGTATAAAACCTTCTTCAGACCTTGCATTGAAATCTAGATAAGGATATTATTAAAGTGCACTACGTCACTTTACCATTGGAACACATGGCAAGTAAAGTAGTGCATTATCAAGTTACAGGTCAGATCTGTGGAAAAGTTATCCTAATAACCAAACTAATACTTATATTTTTTTGCAATAAAGACGTCTTAAAGCCAATAAATGCAAGATGGATGCCTTTAATACCAATCTGTGGAACATTTAAGGCAAACAAAATGTAATCTCCCTGGATCTTACCATCCTAAAATCATAAAGGCGTAGTGGATGTCAGTTTGTCTTGTAGTCACAAGGTAAATTGTGGACGTACTGTGGACAAACTTGTGGATGTAATCTGTAACACATGATACACTGTCTTTAACTGTCACTTGATTTTGAAATGATTTAAAGTGTCCGTATTACACTATTTTCTGATCTATGTTATAATGTAATGTTATAATCAAAATATACTGGAGTTGTGTTTTGTTTCATTCATATTAACACACAAACCCTGCATATTTAGGCGAGTAAGTTCTTCTCTCAAACAGAAAACACTCTGTTCCACCTTGTGATGTCATGTGGTAATGCACCAAGTAGGGTTCGACCGATATATCGATATGGGCACATATCAGCTATCTCCCTAAATCTTGCCGATGTGGACTGATAGTTCATGTGGGCTTGTTATACCTTGTTATAAAGCTTAGACTCTTTATATAATGTCCATTTAATCCAATTTACAGACAGATAAATGTCCTAATATGTGGTGCCGCATCAATATTTATCTGCAGAGTCATTTGTCTGTGTGCATGACGCCGACTGCCCCTGAACTCACCCCCAGAGTCACATTACTCATGTGCGCTTGTTTACAGGATCCATGTGCGCAACACTGAGGCGCTGCTTTAAACGCTCGTGTGTCTGATCCACGATACTGACGATAAATAAAAGTGAACTTCCGCCCAGTTTAGACCAGAAACGAAACTACTGCTTGTTTTTATCAAACTTATTAGTGCAGACTTGTGATCTGAGAGGTGCCTGTGTGAGCAGTGAGTAATGCAAATGTGTCTGTTTTGAACCTACTTTTGGTTCTTTCTCATTGGTTAGAGCTTAGCTGTTGTAAATTACCACACAACAGCCTGTTTCCTGTTACACTGGCCTAGTGTAAAGTGACTATAGTGTCTGTAAACATGTTACTGGACCTGCATTGATATGTAAATGAGCTGTGGCTAGAGGTGTGAATGATTGGCATTTACATATAATTTATTACCGCAGCTTTCACACATTTACCGCTAAAGGGTAATGGCGGTAGTTTACTTAATTTCTTTACTCTCTAGAATGTCATGCAAAAATGCCTTTAGGCCGACCTACTGTCTTTAAATATGACTGTAAAGAGGCAGAATAAAAATAAATGTCACCTAAACAAATCCAAATTAAAATCCAGTTGAGCCAGACCTAAGTTTTATAATAAACTGAAGATTTACAGTGAATTTTTACATCACTAAATATATATCAGCTATCGGCACTTCCAGCTCCACCAAGTGCTCCACTATGTTTTTAAACTCCATGCACCTTAATCATAATCAATCAGAATTGCCCATAAAAACGTAAAAGGTAGCTGTTAACTTTAAAACTACCACTTCATGACATCACCAGGTAGAACAAAGCATTTTGAGATTGCAGATGTAGACAGACTAATAATGCAGGGTTACTCAAATATGTCTGAATGAAACAAAATAAAACTCCAGCTCTATTTTTGGTGAAGTAACAACATTATAACATGGATTAAAGCTCACGAGAGTCCATTTTGTCCCTTTAATAGTAGTGATTTCATGCGAGGTCTGAATGCAGTTATTATAATCGTCTTACTGTCTATCTTTATTATTTACTGTCATATTTTTTCTCAGACACCTCAGAGAAAACGCATCTCGATTGTAACTGACCATTTCCGCACTTTGCACATCCCTCCACCTTTCACCATTTTGACATTGGAGAAAAAAAATCGACTTTTGGTATTCTGCAATTTTCTAAATATTCACACTTCATTCAGTTTTTCTACCACTTTTCTACATCTATTTCTAACACTCATTCACTTTAGGGGTTGTTTAGTGTCATAAGAATTCTGCATGTGGATGAAAAACAAATTTGTTAAAAAAAAAACAAAAAAAACAAAACAAAAAAAGACATATGCTGTACATTATAATTCTAAGTTTTATTTGAGAAGTTGAATTATTAAAATATTGTTTGGGTTTTGTGTCAAATATAAGCCAAATATCACAGAGGAGAGTACTACTTTCTTACTTACTTACTACTATTTACTTTGTGGAATTGTGCACTCTAAAAACAATATGAGAAAAACAAGTAGATAAACTTAAAATTGTTGCTTTGAATGAACAAATATTATATTGGAAGCTAATTTTACAATATCAATTTCAAGGAGCTTTACCTGATTTTTAAAAACGTGAAATGCTAAATTATTTCATTATAAAAGGTTTGCAGTGGTCTAAAGTTATCCCACCTTCACTTACCGTCTCAGTCGAAGTCTCAGAGACCAGAGCGTAGATTTGTCTTAACAGTAATTCTAACAACTAGCATGCTAACAGCCCACTTCCTGGTTCTCGGACAATAAAAAGCTGATTACTGGGGCAGACAAGACAATTTTGCTCGAATACATGGGGGGAAAAAATCAGGTACAGGGCCTTTAAAGTACCGTAATTTCCAGACTATTGAGCGCACCTGAATATAAGCCGCATCAACTACATTTTAAAAGAAGAAAAAAAAGAATATATGTAGGCCGCACGTGTCTATAAGCCGCTGGTGTCCAAGTCTTCAAGAAGGTTTTCAAGTTCTGCTTTTGTCGCCTCTGAAAGCTTTTGTCGTCTTTTTGCGTTGAGTTAGTTCGTCACGCTGCCATCGCCAAAATCCCACCATCGACTCATTAATGTCGAGCTCACGGGCAGCAGCTCAATTTCCTTCTTCCACAGCCACATCAATCGCCGTTAACTTAAAATATGCGTCATCTGTATTTCTTCGTGTGTTTTCCATAAGGACGGTGCGTATATGAAGCGTAAAATAACTGTTCAAAACACAATTAAACTGACATCTTCCTCGGCTCATCATCTCTTCCACCTGTCTGTCTCGCTCTTGCACCCCGTCACTTTGAGCTCTACTGCGCACGTCTCCTGCAGAAAGAGCCTCTGTCCTGTCTCGTACATAGACTGTAGTCTATGGTCTGGTGTCATGTCAGAGTCTTGTAGGATTTCAGCAGATTTCAGGGCAGGGATAGGTGTATCGATCAGGTATGAGTGGATGTCCGGCTACTGAAGTTTGAGATGTCTATTCTCATTATTGACGCACTCACCTGCATTTAACACATACGGGTCATTAAGATGTATCCCCCTCACTAATGTTCATTTAGCATCATAACTTATTTTATCGCACGGTGATAAACTGTTTTAGTGCTGACAACAGCGTTTGCTAGTGCTGCAGTTTCATGTGAACTGCACAGACAGCGGCATTTTCTGCACTGAGGCCGCACGCATCCACTGTGCTGATAAACCAATAATCCATCCATATAATCGCCGCATCGTTGTATAAGACGCAGGGCTCAAAGTGTGAGAAAAAAGTAGCGGCTTATAGTCCGGAAATTACGGTAAATTTCTATTTTATCTTTTTGAGTGCACTGGCCCCTTACCAAATTGAATCAATAAATAAGCTTCCGTTTATGTTTTTTTCTTACAATTGTGTTCAAAATCGTGCCAGAAATTGACAAAAATATAACTTTTTCCAACTAGCCATAATGTTTTTGTATCTTGCCATGAAAACAAAAAAAACTCAACAGAATTCTTACCTTGATTCTTACAATGTTTACAGACTAATATCTAAGGCCATCACAGTTAAGCTGAAATTCGTTAAATTGAAAATTAAAAAGTAGTAATTAAAATTTAAAACTGATACTTTGCAGTAACATCACTCTGGCGAGGTTCTGTATGTATGTTTATGGGGAATTCTTCATCAGTTACCACGGTGACACAATGCACACATTAGGAAGTTACTGACAAAAAGTTTTAACTAGCTTGTGACTGTAATGTTACTTGAGAAGAACTAAGTTAACACAAAATCAGCTCAAAAAAATAAATAAATAAAAACAGATTAAAGTCTAACTTGAGTACCAGAGCTTGAGACAGAGCAGTGCCTACAGTTAGCATCACACCCCTCGGGAATGTTGATCACCTCAGCTGCACAGTGTCAACTATTATCAATCAAGCCAAAACAATTAAAAATATCATAAATTTGAGTGATTATTTGAGTTCTTGTCAGTTATTGTACCTTTAAATCTCCAAAGCCGTCATATATCCTACGTTCTTGTATTTTTGTTTCATTTTCACGGACACAAGCCAAAGTTTTCCGAATGTTTTCAACTCTGTGAATGGTGACTTCTCGCTTCTGCCGTCTGCTGACCTTTCACTGCACAATTTTGATTTCGTTTCAGTATTTTGGGTCGATTTTTGTTGAAAATGCTGATTGATTTTTGTGTATTTTCTTGAGTTTAGTGCCAAGTTTAATACTGTTTATTCTGATTATCGTGAATGGTTTTCTTTGTTCATGTGATCTATGCAAATGTGCTATGTCCACCGTTATGAAGGGATGAGACGATGGAAAGAAATGGGTCTGGAAAAAATATATGAATTGTAATCGAAATTCTGTCATTTTGCTCCTGAGTGGTCAGTTTGGGTTTTTAAAGGGTCGATATTACAATATTTTCTGAGCTGTTATAATGTCGTTTCCTCATCACAAACATACATAGAGTTGTGTTTTGTGTCATTTACACATGTTTAACACACAAACTGAGTTGCTGATTTCCTGTTCCACCTTGTGATGTCATGCGGTAATACAGGAAGCGCTCCACTCTGTTTTTAAACTCCGTACACCTTCACTAGGACTGGATATCAATGAGAAGTCGCCGATACGATACATACCTCGATACAAAGGCCACGATGCGATACATCTCGATACAATACACTTTCATTTCCATAAGATATATTTCAAATCAATTCAGTATGGTTAAATAAAAAAAAAAGGCTAAATCATGGATGTGATACTAAAAGTCGCATTTTAATCAACAAAAATTGTGAAAATGTCAAATGTGTTTACTTCCTCTAACCAAACAACAAAACTGTAGTGCTATAACAAAATAATTTAGTAAAATATACCCAAAAATACTCAATACATCGATACAGCAGTCCCCTGATATCGATACTGTATCATCACTTAAAACCAGGGGTCTCCAACCTTTTTCCTCAGGTGAGCTACTTTTACAAAACAAAAATGGCAGAGAGCTACTAATGTTTAGTGGTTCCAAGAAACTGAGAAAGTAGAAGAGCCATGGCAGGCCTACAGTGTTTCCCGCAGAAAATTGGTTAAGGCGAGGGGCAGTTGTTGTCAAGGGAAACACTGCCTTTATCCATTTATTAGTGCACAAGTTCGGAATCAAAATGATAAATTTGCAGTGGTAAATAATCAGATTTTAATTATTAAACATGATACATATTATTCAGAAATCCATTGGCGAGCTGCTTGGAAGGGGGTGCAGAGCTACAGGTTGGAGATCCCTGCTTTTCAGTATTTTTCGGTATTTTTGCACACACATAATCTTCACTAGAATCATTTGGATCATTTCAGCCTTGGAATTGCCCATTTCTACTAAACAAAAGGTACTGTTAACTTGAAAACTACTACTGCATGACATCACAAGGCGGAACAGAGCATTTTGAGGTTTGGCGACTCAAACATGCGAACGTAACCAAACTCCAGGTATATTTTTGATGAGGTACTAACATTATAACCTGGTTTAAAGCTCACAAGAGTCAGTTTTGGTTAATATAAATCCTTTAATGGAAAGACCTACAGCCAGTCCACGTGTCTCCATGGAGATGTTGTTGCTTTGCCTGTAATGTTCCACAGAAGGTCATGAAACATATCGCGTGAAGAATTCAAGACGGTGACTCCATCAGGCCTGGTTACGGGTCAGTATTTTGGGGCAATAACATCACCTGCAAATGAATGAATGCAACGTGGCTCATTTAATACAATACTGCGGAACATTCCAGGCAAAGCTATGGCGGACCCTCCATCAGAAAAGTTAAAATGGCGTTGATACGACCACATCAGATTGTCATATCACCTTTTACTCTTTGCATAAGGAGAAAAACTGCTCATGTCACAAAAGTTCAAATCCATGTACCTACGTTGACTCTTTTTCTAGAACATTGTCCTGTCCCTTTTTCATTGTAAAGTTGAACACGTGTCTGCCATTTTCTGTACATAGACTGTACAAACACGGGGTCTTCGATCAGAGGAACAAATGTATGAAACAAAACCAACAAAATGATTTAAAAATGTAACCTTGAATGTTAGAAATATTTTTATATGTTTTGGATCAACAGGAAAAAGACAAAATCCTCCAGCTTCTGTACAAACACTACAAAGGGAATGTTTTTAGTAATTTATAAAATCTTTGCCAGGCAAGAAACACCGAGTCTGTCATTATTTCAAATGTTTTTGGGAAGGACTAGACCAGGACTAGACCAGGACTAGACCAGGACTGCAGTAGAACAGGACTAAACTGGCGACACCACTTCAACCATCTCATCTGATCTCAGAAGCTAAGCAGGTCTGGGTCTGGTTAGTACTTGGGTGGGAGACCGGGTGCCACAGTGGAGCGGCAGTACGTCATAGAAACTGTTTTTGTGTCCGCAGTAGACACTTCACTCAGATTGCTTCGTATGAATGTGTTGTGAGTGTTGGTGCCTTGTTTGTCAGATCTGAATCTTGAAACTTTTGAAGAGCCGTTCAGAAAACAGGCTATTATTTATTTATATGACAGAAACAAATGTGTTAAGTCATTTTCACAACAAACTGAACAGAAATGACTGAGGCTCAGATCAGTTTAAAATGGTTCAAACTGACAGCGGGAGTGAGTTTCTCCTTTGAAATGATGCAAGATCGAAATAAACCGCTGCACTACAAGAATGATCCTTTGAAAACTGTTATTATAATGTCACATATGTGTTTTTGTGCACAAAGCGCTCACTCATGTTGCCTGCTCTGCTTCTGTTCTGATTCTTGTTTTGGTTTTGTGTAAATCAGTATAAAAATGAGACAACAAAGATTTGGTTCTTTTAAAAATGTAGGTCCTGTTCCAACTGTTCACACTAAGAGCAAAGAGCCGACTCATTTACAAACATCACATCCCTGGCTTCTGTCAGTCTGCCCCAGGGCAGCTGTGGCTACAGTAGTATCTCACCACCAGCGAGAGTGGAGTAAATGAATAATGCAGTGTAAAGCTCTGTGACCTATAGGACCAGCAGGACTATTGCACAACTAGAACAGGACTGAACAGGACTTATTGGGTTTCAGATTCTAGAATGTGGTGTCATAATCTCAGATGGGAGCAAGAGCCCCGGTCTCTTATTGAAAAATAAGAACTATATCAATATTGTAGATCTGCAAACATTGGATCTGTTTCTTTTCTCTGAGTCACTGGACGAGCTACAATAAAAATCAGTATCTCACTTAAACAGAAACAGTTTCTGTTTAAGTGTTATTCACCTGGAAGCAGCTGTGTTGTGCTTGTGACATTCTCACATGACTAAAAGCTTTAGAATAACATTACTCAAACAGCAGTGAGACAAATGATTTGACTGTTTTCTAAAGTCTGTTGTGTTGCCATGGAGACGGCTCAGCGGGAGACGGGCTGCTTCCGTCTGAAAACAAGTGGGTCTCACTAATAAACCTGAATTTTGGAGTTTGGTTTGAAACTTAAAGACTCAAAAAAGCAAAATACAATTTATTTAATAGACTACAAAAATACATTTAATTGATTTGTAAATTTATTAAACAATTCCTATGGAGTGTCCACCAGCTGCCCAGCTCCATGGAGATGTGATTTCTTTGTCTGGAAAGTTCCACAGTATGGCATTCAACTTCCATCTCCATGAAGAAGTTATCCTACCAGGCCAGGTTACAAGTTGGATCTGAAGCACCTCAGCTCACAGTAAGAATACATACAATATGTTAAAAAAACAAAAAAACACACAGCTGTAATTAGACAAATGTAAGATAAGTGTAATGCCACACTGCGGAGGATTATGTGTCAAATCTTTATGATGTTAGAGTAATTGTAATTTTACTCATAAGGTCAGATCTGTGGAGAGGCAAGCCCACTCAGTCAGAATGAATGTTTTTCAAGCTATTTTTGAGCCATAGAAAGACTTTAAATAAATGCAAGTTGTGATTAATGCCATACTACTGAACATTCCAGACAAAGCAATAACACTGCCATAGAGACAAGTAGATTACTGGAGCACCCCCTTCCAGAAAAGCTCCACAGTGCACCTTTAAAGGTCCTATATTACAGTGTTTTTTTCTGGGGACCCATATTTTAAAGTCACAAACCTTTGTAACCCAAGTCAATAGACATTATTCGTGAATCACAAAGGTGGATTTGATCATAATTGAACATTAATGAGGATGTTTTATTGTTGACTGAGTGATCGTGTCTCTGAACAATTATTCAAGTGTTAAACAACGAAAAACAGTCTTTGAAGGAGCAATAAAATGATCCATAAGTCGCCTATTTGGACATTAAATGTAGCCCATTTCTTTTTCTTTTCAACATTCCATTGAACCAGCAATGTTGGAACAAAATAGTCAATAAAATAATTACAAAAAGATAAAAAATGATGGCAGATGCTATTTGCACCCTGGGTGTAAATAGTTAACATTGTTATTCACACACAGGGCAAACAGCCATTGTTGCTATTTACACCCGGGTGTATTTAGCGTGGCACATAGAAGGGCACCCGAGTGTTCCTAGACTAAAATGCTATTTACACCCAGGTTATTTATTAAAAAAACATAAAGGCACCAGCCCACTAAAAATCAGTAATATTTGATGGTTTTTTTTAGTCAAAATGATGCGGAATCATCGATCAATCATTCACAGTTGGCGCCTGATGGTTTAGTCCCAGATAATTCTTCTTTTAGTCCTGTTTTAATCCTGGTTTAGACTTGGTTTTAGTCCTGATTTTTGTCCTGGTTTAGAACTGGTCTTAGTTCTGGTTTAGTTCTGGTTTTAGTCCTGGTTTAGTCCTGGTCTGGTTTAGTTTTTAGTCCTGGTTTAGTTCCTGGTTTTAGTCCTGGTCTTAGTTCTGGTTTAGTTCTGGTTTTAGTTCTGGTTTTAGTTCTGGTTTAGTTCTGGTTTAGTTCTGGTTTTAGTCCTGGTTTTAGTCCTGGTTTAGAACTGGTTTTAGTCCTTGTTTTAGTTCTGGTTTTAGTCCTTGTTTAGTCCTGGTCTTAGTTCTGGTTTAGTTCTGGTTTTAGTCCTGGTTTTAGTTCTGGTTTAGTTCTGGTTTTAGTCCTGGTTTTAGTTCTGGTTTAGAGGCGCACGGGAAGAGGCACGGTCCATACGCTGTACGGAAGAACACGCAGTGTACGGGAGGAAATGCGTAAGTGGACACATCACGTTCCCTTTTTTCTTGAGGTGGATGTAAATAGAAGAATCGTGTCCATTGAACTATTAACACCCAGGGTACAAAAAGACACTCCGAAAAATTATACAAAACATGTCTTAACTTTTCAACATTTACAATGAGATAGGTGGACCTGTCTGCGTTTTTTGTTGCGCTTTCCAGTCTGGGTGCAGGAGGAGAGCGCAACACGTATATCAGGCGACCCAAAAAAAAATATCTCTTGCGACCCACCTGAGAGTTGTGACCCAGTCTTAGGGAAACAATGCTATATTACGCAAAACTGACTCTTGTGAGCTCTAAGTCATGTTAGAACTTTGTTACCTCCTTGAAAACAGACCTGGAGTTGTGTTTTGTTTCATTCAGACATGTTTGAGTAACACTTTATTATTAGTCTGTCTACATCTCTGAAGCTCAAAATGCTCTGTTCCACCTTGTGTCACGAAGCAGATTTTTTTAAGTTAACGACTACTTTTTACCTTTAGTTGAGTAGAGATTGACAATTCCAGGGTTGAAAAGATCCAGATGATTCTAGTGATAGTGTAAGGAGTTTAAAAACACAGTGGGGCACTTCTTGTCTTACCATGAAACAAACCTTTCCTTACATGGCTGGCATTTCTGAAAAACTACAGAGGATTTTCAGACAACATGAGATCCCAGTCGATTTCAAACCTACGAAAATATTAAGACAGAAACTGGTCCAGCCAAAGGACAAAACACCGAGCCACAAACAAAGCAATGTGGTCTACTCCATTTGGTGCAGTGAAGACTGCAGTGAACGCTACATTGGAGAAACTAAACAGCTACTTAATAAGAGGATGAACATAGAGGTGAGACTCCGAAGTGGCAGCCTCAGTGTCTGCTCGTAGCAGTGCTCCAGGCTTACGAAAGCCAACAGGTAGCAGAATTTTAGCACAGAGAAAAGAATTAGTTTGAGAGGGAAGTGAAAGAAGCTGTTTTTGTTAAGAAAGAATCCTTCTCTAAACAGAAATGCAGGCCTCAGACACCAACTATCTCCTATTTACAACTCCATCCTCAAACCTAAATCAAAACAAACAAGAGAACAACAGGTGTAGTCAGGTCAGGTCCAGAGGTGTGGAAGCTCCATTATGGCCATGAATTCTGATGCTAATTAGACCCCACACCCTGCAAACAGAAAACTGTAAACAAACAGAAACTGTAAACAAGTATGTGCGTTAGTTTCAGTGTAGTTAGCTCCTCCCTGCAGGCAGATATAAGGAAGTGTCCACCAGCGTCTGACCAGAACTGAAGAAGCAGCTTGAATGAGCTGAAACGTATTCGACCAAACAAACTTTTGTCCAGTCGACAAACCATGACAAACCTCATTACCAGGAAACAAACACAACTCCAGGTTTATGAGGAAATTATAACAGAGATCAGAAAATATCATAATATGGGCCCCTTTAATGGGACATAATAAAAGTGTGGATGAAAAGAGCAGTACACGTGAGACTTGGTGCACATCTGAAAGTTTAATGAGGTCTCAAAATGGACAAAGTTTCCAGCAGGTTCAGATTACAGCCGCTGAAACATGTCCCACACCATGTCCTCTCCACTCACTGACACTCTGACTGCACGCTTACAATGACATCCAGTCAAAATAATAAAGGTGCACTGCCGAACTTAACTTATGGAGTTTGCAGCACCCGCCTGCGTCCGAGGTGATGTTAGATGTTTCACTTGGAATCTTCCTCAGTATGGCATTAAACGGAACCGTGTCTCCGTGTCTCGCCATGCCCCGTTAAAGGTCAGATCTGTGAAGAAGCGACAGTAAGAATGCTTGTTATTATGGGATCTGTAAGCAGTGATGGAAGAAGTACTGAAGTTAAAGTACAGATAGTGGCACCAAAAAATAAAGTAACACATGAAAACATCTATTGTATTTTTTGGACTATAAGTCGTTCTGGAATATAAGTCGCATCAGCTAAAAAATGTGTAATGAAAAAGAAAAAAAAACATATATAAGTCGCACTTTTTGGAC